GATGTGGTGATTGACAATTTCTATCTCTGTATTGTTTAAAATACTTACTGTTGACTGTTGATATGTTTCTTATATGAATTGCATTAGAATTCCGCTAAATACAAATTCCGGATTGCTGCCCTCTCTGAGTTTTGGTTGGATTCGTGTAATTCAGTCATCTCGAAATACTAATATTCCTATTACAATAAATTACTACACTGTATTAGCACCTGCTAACTCCCTTCTCAAGTTGAAAGTAATTATTTCAATTTTGTTTCCATGCTCATTTTCACACACTTGTAGTTCGTCCTAATCCTGTGTAATTTTGCTTCTAGGCTTCTCGTAAACCGTATCCAGTTGAAAATAATTGTCACCTTTTATTCACCTCCGTAATTATGTGAAGTCAAATAAGAATTGTATCTATGTGAATATATGTATTTAAATGCGATTGTACAACAACTCTTGAAAAATAAACCACCGAAAAATATCTCTGTTGAACTTCGTGTTCTCTTCTTTCTGATGCCGTCATGGGTGTTTTCCAAGATCTGAAGAGGGGATTTAAACTGTCTAGACTTTCCTCGTATGATGAAGTAGTCATACCGAGAATCACACGTATTGCTTTCCTTTGGAGCCTTTCTAGAATATGTGAGTCCGCTTTAAGACAAAGACTGGCTGGCTGGATACAGTTTTCCAGCCTTAACCTCACTAGAGATGTATGAAGGAGTTAAACATATGTCAAGTGATTCTAGTTAAGGCTCTGCGAATTTCCCATAAGGATGTGAAACTACGTGCAGCCATGGCGAAACGGTGTTCCGTAGTTTTTGAATCGTGACTAACTCTGACACCTAAGTCCGAATGAGTCTTAGCTGATTGGAGTGTTGTTCCGTCTAGTTCGTAGAAGCTGATGCTTGTGTGTCCGATGCGCATGGTTGCACATTTCGCTACAGTGATCAGGAGCATCCATTCTTTGGACCACTGGCTTTGGTGTAGATGCCAGTGTGCATAAGAGAAGTTATATGTTGGGAATAATTGAAGTAGCTAGCCGCGAGTGGCTTCCTCAAGGTATGATTTTAGTAGCGCTAGTGTTCCCTGTATCCGTTTGTGAGCTATCGTAAGTTCCAGGATCATGAGTTGTAAGGATTACATATTGGTGGTATAAATTGATTTAGACAAATTGGCTGAGTAGTTGTAGTGCCACAGGCTGAAAACTAATTCCAACAAATGTAGTGAAACACATGGCCAACAGTCTTGCTCTTCGTACTCAGAACAAGTGACAAATGTTCATAAACCAGAACTTAATAAATTGTCATCAAATTTCTATTTCGTACATGCACGGGATATATTTACCATTAGAATGACACTAAGAGATATAAAACTATCAAGGAAATAGACCACATCACAATCATTCAGTCTTCCCGTACACTCTTCTTATGAATAATATGTCATTCAGTTGAACAAAACATTAAATCTCTATTTTGTCAACCACGAAACGTTTTCGCCATCAGTTCTATTGCTATCACCCATGATACGTACACTGTCTCTTTGTTTCACGTGAATGGAAGCCGGTAGCAACTTTTCTTGATACAGCGATTTTAGGTTTACCGTGAAGCAGGAAATTGTTTTATTCTAATTTTATTTAAAACACGAAAACTGGTACAGCATAGGTACCAAGAAGATGAGCCACACAGTAATAATAGTAATAGTAAAACAACATATGAAAGAAGTAGGTAGAAAATGAATTAAGGACTCCATCTAGAGAGGAAGTAGCTACATTTGACAATACCAAACACTATGCGTGGAATTATTGTCAGGAAGGGAAGAAAGGAGGAAATTGTAGCTCATTCGCCATTGATTGTTTGCGATTCTTCGCCATATCCGATTTGAGCTATCTGTCGGGCCCGTACCAGGGAGTTGTGATGTGCAATCAACCGAAGACAACCTACAACAAATGTTCTTCATCCCACGATGTCACGTGATAAGGCTGGCTGACCACCTTTCCGTTATATCCACCCCATCCCATGGCTGGCTAACTACTAGTAGCCGTAACTTCTTGATTTTTGTGGACGCCGACATTTCTGTTGATTATCTGGATTGAGTTATTTTTAAAAAGTAATACTTTGCCATCCGAGATGTGACCGATTTGTAAACTGCTCACTTTTTTTTCCTCAGGGCTGAACGATTTAAATGGATGAGCCTTTTCTTCATTGGTGCACTTGGTCTTTATGCCTCGCGTGCAATTATGCCGATCGCTTCGGTAGATATTGCTTCAGAAATGAATTGGAAGCGTAGGGAAATGGTGAGTTATATAAACAAAAAAGTTTGCTGCATTCGACTTTTTGCATAACACTAGCAGGATAAACTTCCACGTATAATCAGGCCTCTTCAATTTCAGCGATTTTCTAAATCTAGCCCTTAATGCAATATTCATATGGCTTACTGAACAAGCAGACTAGAATAGGCATACTATCCCCGCGGTGTCACAGTCTTGTGCTAACACGTTTTTTTAAAGATTTTTTCTTGAAAATAGCTAGAATTCGGTTGTTTCTTTTGATTTTTGATGGTGTATAGGTGTTCCCTAAATTTGTTACTTTTATGAAGGAGATTGACTAGTAAATTTAGTTTATCTTACGACCGGTTGCCTATATTAGTTTAAGTGAACAAGGGATGAACCTATTTTCAGACAGGATGATGCGAGTTCGTTTTATTTCGTTGATTCTCTCTCTCTCTCCAAATGCCTACATCCAAAACAAAAACAATTATAAGGTACAAAATGGTGTCTGAACATACTTTTTCTCACAGTGACTTCGAGTTATAGACAGACGGTATAGGCAAAATAATTCCAAAGATGATGTAGGTAGACGTATTATTCAGTGTTTAAAGAGTGACACAAGTGTGGTAGAGTTCAGATTTTACCTGGAAACAAGGATGGACTAGAGAAGAAACACAAGATAAAACAATAGAGTGAATGTTTGCATATTGTAGTGGAGAGTTCATGAGGGCGGGTGTGAATAGTAAAATGAGATTATAAGACAAAGTAGTTTAGTAGTGAGTTGAACTCACAAAGTGAAAATCAAGAGTGGAACTAAGTGGAATTTCATGCAACTGAACAAAACACAGACGCAGACGAACAAAACAATTATGGTTGCTAGGATAGTGAGTGATTAGTCACATTATCTTTCTGTATACAGAGGTTGGGTCAAAGTCTTTTGATGGTAGCAGTGGCTTCTTCGAATCTATGTGACTACGGTTTTCTTGGTGTATTGATTATCTTGAAAGCCTGACTAATTTCCACTGTATGTCCGGTGTGAATCTATCGTATTGCATCTTGTATTTTGCCTCTAGTTCATGCTTGTTGTGCAAGCAAGATGTGAAGTCCACTGCTGCTCTTGTCTGATTGTGATATGAATAGTTACTCTTCTAACACTGAATAATACGTCTACCTACATCATCTTTGGAATTATGTTGCCTATACTATCTGTCTATAACTCGAAGTCACTGTGAGAAAAAGTATGTTCAGACACCATTTTGTACCTTATAATTGTTTTTGTTTTGGATGTAGGCATTTGCAGAGAGACAGAGAGAGAGAGAGAATCGACAAAATAAAATGAACCTGTATTATCTTGTCTGCAAATATGTTGGTTCTCTCTCAATTCAAATTTACCCTTTTATCAATGAGAAAATGTAGAATTTGACATTGCGTTATTCCTGTACGTGTGGTGTCTTTATAATGCAGATAAAGTAGCAAGTGTTCATTGTAACGTTGTCTGTATGCTGCAACTGCGATGTGAATACTGTATAAGTTCGGTATCTACTTCCTTGGTAGCAGGCTAAATAAGTCGATCAATCGTCTAAGCCTTTTTAAAAGGCATATCTACTTACAGTCAACACCAGTGTACTTTGTTAGGAGAAATAGCACTACTTTACAGTATGTATATATATGCCTAGGTGAAGATATAGGGAGTGGGTTGCTGTTGTGGACGTAAGCAGTGTAGGTATGTGTATATTGCGTGACGACTGTGACCGGTGTATGTGACCAAGAACCAGTCGTTTGAGTCAGCTAGGTAGCTGTGTGGGTAGATGTCTTTATACTTTGCTTTCACGTCGATTACAATTTTACATTTCTTGATTTGGTGTGCACCTTCTTTTTCGGTTTATTCACACTCACTCCACTAACTTCGATTATATTTCCATTTTGTTTTCCAAAACTTTAGTATTTATTATTATTATTCCCTTGGGTTTTAAGTGAAAAATAGGGTTTCAACAAAGCTGTCTTCTAATTAATGTGCTTTCATGCTGTGATCCGCTCACGTAAAGATGCCTACAGTTGAACGAGCGGACATAGGAAACAGGCAGCTATGAAGTTGATACGCCCCACCTCCACTCCAAAGTAATGGGAAGGCAGAGTTTGACCTTACTGGTCAACAAATATATAGTGTTTCACTAACCGTTAAGCAACAGGCATGCACCAACTTAATCAGAGTACTCTCATTCACCAAAAAAAATACAGCATGTATATCATTCACATTATGATTTATATGATTAATAATATTAAAAATCATTTCGAGGAGGATATTAGAAATAAACAAGTAGAGAAACACGGTAGACGACAGACAAACACATATCACCAAACTCTGTTGTGTGAATACACAACTCCACCATAATACAACAGATCACAAATACAACTTCAGTTAAACTGATGTACACAACTTGTTAGTGGGAACAGGAATCAACGAGAAACGTTAATTCTATAAGAAACAAAGAATAAGAAACGAAAATTAAAAATACTGAAATTAACACACACACACACACACACACACAAAATGGACAACCAATACAACCAACCGTACAAATGATCACGATCATCTGAAGGATAGTGAATACTTAAGAAAAAAATGTCGATCTGAAAATTGTATATAAGATGGCTTAATAGTGAATGCCTAGATGATGTGATAATGAGAATAAGTTAGTTAAAATTGGAAAGAGCAATGATAGATACTTCTTCTTCTTCACTTCTTCTTTGGTCAATGTCGACCTGATGAGTCCAGCTGACTTAATCGAAGTGCAAGTTCCAGGTCAGCCTCTTCTTGTCGACGAGCTTCTTCTTCAATCTGTGCAAGACGCTGACTTTCCATAATAGCCCATGAAAGTCTAGCCTCATCTGACAAGATAATCACATCACTAGATTTTGAAATATTTTTTCTATTCGCCGAGGGAGATGCTGTTGATGATGCGGAGTGATGATTTTGTAAATCTTTTTTTGCCTTGCTTGAAGATTTCGGCTTCATCAGACTGAACGCTGACAACGATTTGGTTGGCGGAGGAATTGAATTACCAGGTGTTGTTGTTGTTAAGCGTTTACGAGTTCGTATAGAGTTGCCTGTTGTTGCTGATGAATAATAATAATTGCCTAAATCATCGTTAGCGGCATCACCTTCTTCACAGCCACCGGCAGCAGAACGAATATCTGCGAAACTTGAAGTACTCTCCATAGACTGCAAAAAAACAAACAACAATACATATTCAGTTACCAAGTGTTTGTTTAGGGAAATCACCAGGGAATCTCTCACCTTCAGTCCATATGCAGGATGGCGCTAGAAAAGATGGAACCAGGAGTCCATACATCCCGATTTATCTTTCAGCCAACCATATAGGAGAGAGTAAATACCACTACTGTACGGACAAAACCCCAACTTCAAACATACTACACGTGATTAACATCAAACAGTTAACCCCCAGAACTAACAGTTTGTTTTCTCTTTTACGTCTCATTTCGTGTCTCAGATTTACGTTTGATACTATTTAGTTTTTGTATAAAAATAAATTTGCAACTTTTATTATAAGGGGAAAATGTTTTTCTAATTTTAATAGTCTTACAGATTAATATCAGTAAAAATTTTAAGCATTGTGGATTAGATCAAATAAAGTGTAATTATATTTCAATAGTTTACACACAATGATAGGTTTTGTTATTGGTAATATTTCGAGCAAAATTACCAATGACAAAAAACCTATCATTGTGTGTAAACTATTGAAATATAATTACACTTTATTTAAGTCTTACAGAGTTTGTTATGCAGTAGTAATATTTACTAATGACCATGGTTCGAGTACAATTTTTATTACTGCTACTCAGAATCATATGAACGCACTACTCACACAACTTTCTCACTTCGTTTATTTCCATTTCCACCACTTCTCTCTCATCTATTGATTTCATGATAGGTAGTAGTAGTAGTAGTAGGAGTAGTAGCAGCAGCACTTTCCATATCCCTGGTATTTACTAAAGTGATGAATCAGAAAATGAACAAGGAGAAGTAGCCATGATGTTACATTGTAAAATATAAAAACGAACAGAAGAAGGTAAGCTATATACACTAGTGCTTATGAAAAGTCAACACACTAGTAGATATTTAGACTTTAACTCATATCTCATCTCTTATTCTCAAAGGCAGACTTAGTTATAAGTGTCCAACAAACCAAGCAATAACAACACCAAGTAGGACATCAACAAACACCGAAATGATGTCATGAAACAGAAGAACAAGAACAACAAGAAGGAGCGTTGGTGTTATATTATACAACTATCCTATAAAATTCATTACGAAGATAAAAACACGTCAACAGCAACATAAAAAATTACGGTGAAACGAATAGTGATAACATGTAAAAGAAAAACTATAAGGCATCTACAGCCGTTTTACCATACAAGGAGGAGACATCTAAGACGCGACGTGTAGGACTCCTTTTGAAGCAGGTATCAGGGTGGTGACATTTAAACCTACAAATTCACTCATTCACTTAGGTAGGATAATCTCCGTTATTATTTCCTTTAATTCCTAGAGGAACATAGGGCTTCAACCGTGCGTTTCCATTGCGTTCGGTTCCCTGCTAGAGTTATCATCTGGCTCCAAGTCTGCCCACATGCTTTCATCTCCTCTTCACATGACTTCCTCCAAGTGGCCCTCGCACTGACGACCAACTCGCCACTTCCCTTTCGGCTTCCAATCGATGGTTTGTCTAGTGATGTTAGCCAATCCACCTCCATTTCTTCCTGCCTATTTGTTGCACAATCGGTTCCTGATTGGTTCGCTCATTGCCAGAGATCCCTGTTTCTGATCTTTTCTGGCTGGCCATCTGATCTTGAGTATTGAGCGAAGACAACTGTCGATGAAGGTCTGAAGCTTGTTTGAGACGCTCTTTATAACGCGTAGTGCAAGTCTCTGATGCGTATAGTAGCACTGACTTCACATTGGAGTTGAAAATCCGGATCTTTTTTTCTTTCTCAAGCTGAGTGCTGTTGACCTCCACACAGACTCGAAAGTAATGAAAGCCTGTCTTGCTTTTCCGATTCTGGCTTTGATATCCTCGCCAGTTCCGCCTGTAGTTGAGGCGATGCTCCCCAGGTAGGTAAAGGAGGTTGTTTCTTTCAGGCTCCTCCTATTTATGCAGGCTGATTGTTGTTTGTTGTTGTCGTTGCTGTTGATGTTGGCTAGGAATCTTCATCACCTCTGTTTTATCTATGTTCACCTGAAGTCACATCTTGGATGCTTCTTCTGCCAACTTGTTGCTGGTTTTCACTTGCATATCTTCCAGTTTGTGGAAAATCAGACATATATCATCGGCGAATTCCAGATCCTCCAAGTCCTTTTTTGTGTTAGTCCATTTTATGCCTGTTCCCTCGTTGGTTTCCGTTGTCTGTCGCACTATCCAATCTACTGCAATCAGGAAGATCATTGGCGATAGTAGACAGCCTTGCCTCACCTTCGTCCTCACTTCGAAGGATTCCGTAAGTTTTCCGTTGTGGATAACTTGGGATGCAGCATTGTCGTATAACTGTTGGATGAGATGTATAATTGTCGATGGGACCCCGTAGTAGCGACGTAGTTGCCAAATCACCTCTCAATCGACGCTGTCGAATGCCTTTTCAAAGTCGATGAAGTTGAGATAGACAGGTGACTGCCATTCCAAGCTTTGTTCAATGATGATCCGTAGAGTGGCGATTTGATCAATACATGACTTGTTTCTCCTGAATCCAGCTTGTTCCGGTCGAAGTTTTTCATTCAGTGCGTCGGTGGCACAGTGGTTAGGACTCTCGCCGACCATGCACACGGCCCGGGGTTCGAGCCCGCACCGACGCACACCTGATATCTATGGTCGGCCTGCGAAATTTGGGCTACCGATATCCATGCTGAAAATTCCATGCTTGTACCTAAAATACAGTGTGGAATCAAGCTGTAATCAAAAAATAAAATAAAAAAATAAATAAAAATTCAGGCCGGCGTGTTTGATTCTGTCCAGGATGATGCGACTTAGTATTTTGCTAAGGGTGGACAGGAGCATGATTCCGCGCCAGTTTTTACATTGACTTAAGTCTCCTTTCTTTGGTAGTTTGAATAAGTATCCTTTCTTCCAATCCTCAGGTACTTTGCCCTCTTTCCACACCTTCTCCAGCAATGACGTTATCAAGTCCGCTGTTGTCTCTGGGTCTATTTTCAAAGATTCTGCTGGGATTCCATCTGGTCCTGGTGCTTTTCCAGCTTTTACCATCTTGATTGCATTCAGGACTTCTGATTTCGTCGGGGGTCAGTGTTCACTGGTAGTTCTGCTTCCGTTGTTGGTATTGTTGGGCGCGTTGTAAGAGGCGGTCGATTTAGAAGTCTTTTGAAGTGTTCAGCCCAGTGTTTTCTTTCCTCCACTTCTTTGGTGATTGACTTTCCATCGTCATCTTTCACTGGCTTAATCTGTGTCGAACTTTTGCCCAATAGGTACCTAGTTGTTTGGTAGAGTGTGGCGAGGTCTCCTTTGCCTGCAGCTTGTTCTGCTTCGTTTGCCATGGTTTCATAATATTTTCTTTTGTCTTCCCTGGCACTCCTCTTTACTCTTTTGTTCAGTGTATTGTAGCTTGCATTCAGCTCCTGTTTTTGTTGCTCGTCAGTGCACTGGATAATCTTTTGTTTCACTGTCCTTCTCTCTTCTATTAGTTTCCAAGTGTCCGTAGTGAGCCACTGTTTGTCCTGTCTCTTCTTTCTGCCTAGAACTTCCATGCAGGTTTGACTCCACACCGTTTTCAAGTTGTTCCAGTGCTTTTCGACGCTGACCTCTTCGCTAGTGTTGATTTGTGTCTCGGCTTTTTCCTTTATGCTTGCAATGAAGATGTCCTTTGTAGCTTGATCCTTCAGTTTTTGAGTGTTGAACTTGGCTTGTGGTCTATCTGCAGCTCCTGATTCCCTGAAAGCTTTTAATTTGATTTGGATTGTCCCTTGAACGAGATAGTGGTCTGAGCCAACGTCTGCTCCTCTTCTTGCTTTTGTGTCCAGTAGGCTGCGCCTCCACTTCCTTGAGATTGAGGTGAAGTCGATTTGGTTTTTGGTTTGCCCATCTGGTGACACCCATGTAGCCTTGTGGATATCTTTGTGCTTGTATACACTGCCACCAATCACTAGTTCGTTGAAGGCGCAGAAGTCGGCGAAGAGTTCTCCATTTTCATTCATTTCTCCGAGAGCTTCTCTACCCATGATGAGTTCCCTTCCTGTGTTGTCTGGTCCCAGTTTGGCGTTCATATTTCCCATTAGTATTTTAATGTCACCAGCCGGAGTATTGTCCATTGTTGCCTGTAGTTGTCTGTAGAATTCTTCTTTCCTTTCGAGGTCTGCGTTGTTTGTGGGTGCATACCATTGTATAACTGACACTTTCCTTCCTTTGGAGTTGAATCTGGCGGTCATTATCCTGGACGAGATCGCCTCCCATTGCATCAGGGCCTTTGTAGCCATTGGTGACACCATGATAGCCACGCCCTCGGTGTGCGTGTGGTTATCTTCTGGGTGACTGGAGTAGAACACTGACTCACCCGTTGACAATTTGGTGAGTCCCATTACCGTTCCATCTACTTTCACATACTCCCAGTACTTGGATTCCGTATCTTTTCATCTCGTTTGCAATCTGGGCAGCTTTTCCAATCTCGTACATAGTTCGAACGTTCCACGTCCCCACATAGACTTTTTCTTTTGACGCAAGGAGATTCATCATGCTGGAGGACAATCTCTGTAGGTAGGTTAAAGGACCCAGCAGGTTAACACAATCACACAAAATAATATAAGTAACAAACTACGTCGCATAGGTTAGTTAGCCAAACCAGTAGATCGTGGTTAGTCACACTGTCAGGATATAAGAACTAAGCTAGGTGCAGAACGATGAATAGGGGTGATTCAACACTTATCCACATGGACATTTGGAATATTCTATGAACACTTCTACGACGAATGGGAAGGAATAAAGAAAATTATAAAATGGAAGTTTCAAAGTTGCGTGATTAAAAGTGATATGATTTTGAACAATGATAAATCATGTTCGAAAAGCGTCGTCATCTAGTAAATGATACTGTTTCACACTTTGTGATATTATCTAGTAAACAAGTTGATACAGAATTACATACTACCACAGTCCTCAGATTTAACACATATATTAAAGCCTACTTGGCCAAAACAGTTTTACTATCACGAATGGGAAGAAACTCTAGTGTATATCATATCATACCTAGATGACTAGGAAAGAGGACGTACAATAAGAAGCGTATATGAAAAACCTACGTCAATTGGCCAGCATACTCATTTGTCTAGTTCCATTCCTTTGAAATACAAACGCAATCTAAAAAAGCGCTTCGTCCGCCACAAAGCAAGAAAAGTTTTGTGCTCTGATGAATACCTTAAAGCAGATGTCAGTGTTATTAAACAGCTGCTGAGTGAGAGCGGTTACCCAGGAAAATTCATACATATATTTTTTTTATTTTTTATTTACAGCTTGATTCCACACTGTATTTTTAGTACAAGTATGGAATTTTCAGCATGGATATCGGTAGCCCAAATTTTGCAGGCCAACCATAGATATCAGGATCAAAAGTCAAGGCAGGCCAAAGTCTCAACGGCTAGGAGAAAGGACGTCTTGTTCTGACAACTTTATTTCCTCAGTGACGATAACACCAGCGATATATAAACACAACACCTAAGGAATGCGGCAAAACGAAGAGCATTCAATGCCACTGAAGTATGCTGTCTCTTCAAAACAACCTCTATTTGGCTTTCGGAAGATAGAGATAAACTACCTAATCCCATCTCTTTTATGTGCATCAATTACAATTTGACTAGTCCTGTGAGGAGCCAGTTAGTTGCATAGGCCATACAATCAGACTTGGTTATCGTCGGATTTCTGAACACCATCCTGCACACTGGTTAAGTAAAGAGTGAGAAACAAAGTCCGTTCATAGTTCTATATGATATGTATCCATATATATATATATATATATATATATGGTGGTCTCTCTCTTTCTGTTGCTCTCTTAGTCTGTGACCATTTCACTTTGATGAACCTGTCTCCTTGAACAATGTATATTCCCCTTATATTATATATAATATGTCTGTTTGTTGACAGTCTGACCTTGGTGATATATATCCATATAATATGTGTGTCTGTTGACATGTCTGCTATATTTTGCTATGTATATATGGCTCGATACTCCATTATAATTAGCCAATCATGTTAAGACTGTCTATTGATTTGTTCACACACTTGTTTGGACATTCATATATATTTCGCTCTCACACTATTGTGTGATACATTGATTCTCCTTGTGTTTGGAAAATAGAAGTATCATCGCAAACCTAGTGGTCTTCTGATTTCCGTCTTTCTTGCATAAGAACTGTTAAATTCTCGACCAGTACATAACAATAATTTGGCGACGAGTACATAACACTATACTATCTCATTTCGTGGATACATAACACACGCCAATAAGGAGTCGCTCGAATGACATCGCGTCCTAGATAGGCCATAACTCGAGTGGGACCCGAATGGGAAACGACGAGTCGGCCATTGGTTCGAGGATGACATAGAAGAGATCAGAGGTTATGGACAATCGTTCAGCTAGCTAGCTAAAGAGGACCGCAGATAACAGCACGAATTGGAGATGTACTGTCGCTAAAGTCCTATATTCTAGTCAACACGCAAGGGGACAATAATAATATTGATAACGATAAACATTCCCTCAATTTATACGACATGCTATCGCAATAAAAGGAAGAAACACAAACAACTTAACAATTATAACAATGAAATATACTAAAGTTTCCAAAAGCACTATCTTACCTTGAAAGCTCGAGATTTACCAGGAGTTGGCTGAGTTTTAGGTCGTGGAGGTGGAGATTTTCTCCCGAAAATTGCTCTATTATTATTGTTGTTCTTCACCTCCCTATTTCCACTGGTCATGTTGTCTGTACTACTGCCCATAAATAATGATGACGTCACAGGAGGAGCAGCAAATGGATCACTACCGAATGGATCTGTCATATTTGAAATTCCACCACTGTTAGAAGGCCCAAAAACCTAAATATCATTATTCATCAGTAAGAGACAAACAGTATAGGTGGAGAAAATAGAAATGTACGAAACAACAATCCAAATAAAGAAATATCAAGAAAAACTGCTCAAACATGCTGTCCATTCACTACTGAGTTCAAAAAATAACCATGTTCAAATACACAAAACCTGATGCCAGAAGTGTGTATTTATTTATTACTAGTTGTCCTCTTGGGTACCAGCCGGAACATAGGACTTCAACCAGAGCACATCTCCGATTTGTGCTATTCCCTGTGGTCCTCTTTAGCTCTGCGATTGTCCAAAACCTTTAATTTCCTCCGTGTCACCATTGAACCAACGGCCGACTCGTCGTTTCCTATTCAGGTTCCACTCAACCAACGGTCAGGCTACAGCAAGATGTCATTCGAGCATCTCCTCAGCGGTGTTTGCCTGATCCATCTCGATTTTCTTCAGAACACTTATGACCAATAGGTTCTAGGTTAGTTCGTCCGAATAGTTTCTTGTTGTTAATTATCTCTGACCAGCCGGTCATCTCATCATCAATATGCGGACACCTAGTGAAGGCAGAAGCTGTTGATGAAAGTCTGCGGTAGCCTGTTGGAAATGCCTTTGATGGTGCACACACCAAGTTTCTGACCCATATAGAAGAAGTACCTGACTGACTGACTGAATACTCGTGTTGGAAGACTGAATTTTGTTGTTTATGGTGAGACGGAGCGCGGAAGATTTCCAAACCGATTTCAGATTGATGAAGGTATGATACCTTGGATTCCTATTTCCGAATCAGTTTTTGACATCTTCATGCGTTCTGGCTACCTGTGGTTGAAACGATGTGAAAGAAGTAACCGCTGTCAAATTTCTCCCGTTGATGTTGACTGGTGATGGTTGGTTATCGTCATCACCTCCGTCTTCTCTATGTTCATCACCTGAAATCCTGTCTTTGTTGACTGCTCCTTCATCCAGTTTGTTGGTTTTCGCCTGTAAGTTTTTGAGTTTGTGTTACATTCACCGACATATATTATCCACGCGTGAAATCCAGATCTTCAAGCGTCTACTTATCCGTCCTGCGTATTCATGTTTTCTCACTGCCCTTAAATTATCTCGAAAGAAATCGATATGTGTACCTGATTGTAATCATGACGTGGCGTCGTGGGATGAAGGATTTTTGTGCTAGATTAGCATCGGTTGGTGTGTCACGACTCCCTGGTTGGGGTCCGAGAGATAGCTCAAATCGATGGCTCGAAACGTTATCGGATATGGCCAAGAATCGTAATCAGTGGCGAATGTGTTGCGATTTCCTTCTTTCTTCCCTTCCCGATGATAGCTAACGAACACTGTTTGAACTTGTTAGGCATGACTAATTTCCTTCCAGATGAAGTTCTTTATCCGTTCTCTACTTATATATATATTTTCTTTTCCTTCCTTCCTTTTTTTTTATCTATGTTGTTTTATTATTATTGTGTGGCGCATCTTTCTTGGTGCCATATTGTACCAAGTTTTTTATGCGTTTAAATAAATAAATAAAAATCATGATTCATTGTTATTGGTCTTTCAAGTGGAACACAGCATGTCTCCATCGTCATTTTGACTTGCCTGAACAACTACGCACAGGCTTTCACTTCCTATTCACACTGAACTTGTGACATTCCTAGAATTGACATAAAATGGCATATGTGGTAACCAGTAAGTCAAGGGCAACTATGAAGTCGATATATTCATATTATCGATGAAGAAATAAGACGGATTTTATCAGGTTATGAAATTACAGATACAGATGTTCATCCAGCCATAATTGTGGCGATATTGATTCTGAGTGACTCACTGGCTGATTGCAACATATAACTTTGCATAGATATGTAGCATCAGTTCGAGTTACCACTCTCCATGCTCCATGGACCACACAAAGCAACAGAAGACAGGTTCAAAAGAGACACACAGACAACATAAACAGAAGTTTCATTAACGGAAAACGAATAGTAATATGCAAGAAGAACAACAGAGTTCTATACAGGATATAATAAATCACAAAGAGTGAATCAATGCAACCCCACCACCAAGTGCAGAGAACGACGATTTTCAGCAAGCTATATCCCACAAACTGGAAGATATGCAAGTGAAAAGCAACAAGCTGGCAGAAGAAGCATCCAAGATGTGACTTCAGGTGAACTTAGAGAAAACAGACCTGATGAAGATTCCTGGCCAACACTAACAGCAACAACAACAGACAACAATCAGCCAGCATAAATGGGAGGAGCCTGAAAGAAACAACCTCCTTTACCTACATGGGGAGCGTCGTTTCAACTACAGCGGAACTGGCGAGGATATCAAAGCCAGAATCGGAAAAGCAAGACAGGCTTTCATTACTTTCGAGTCTGTGTGGAGGTCAACAGCACTCAGCTTGAGAATGAAAAAAAGATCCGGATTTTCAACTCCAATGTGAAGTCAGTGCTACTATACGCATCAGAGACTTGCACTACGCGTTATAAAGAGCGTCTCAAACAAACTTCAGACCTTCATCGACAGTTGTCTTCGCTCAATACTCAGGATCAGATGGCCAGGGATCTCTGGCAATGAGCGAACCAATCAGTAACCGGTAGTGTAACAAATAGGCAGAAAGAAATGAAGATGGATTGGCCATACGCTGAGGAAACCATCAAGTGACATCACTAGACAAGCTGTCGCTCGAGTGGAATCTGAAAGGGAAACAGCGAGTTGGTCGTCCAAGGATGAAGAGGAAATGAAAGCATGTGGGCAGACCTGGAGCAGGGTCAAAAAGTTGGCAGAAAACAGAAGGCAATGGAGATGTGCAGCTGATGCCCTTTGTTCCTTTAGGAATTAAAGGATATAATAATAAAAATAAATAATATCACCACCAATTGTCTACGCGTCGGTGGCACAGCGGTTAGACGCTCGCCGACCATGCGCATGGTCCGGGGTTCGATCCCCGGCCGACGCACTCCTTTACCTCACTTATCCAGTTATAAGATTGGTAAAGAGGAAAGGTTGGGCATGAGGCTAGCAACCCCATCCTGTTAAATTAAACACTGCTACAGAAACTTCAAGCCACTAGTTTGAGGCCCTACGTTCCACTGGTGAAAGTGAAGGAAAAAAACAAACCAATTGTCTACAAGCTTCACTGGTTCTTACCATCAATCCAGAGGACCACAGTCAGCCAGTTAACTAGGAAGTCTGCTCATCCCTGCGTGGCTGACTGGCTTAAACTAACTATCATCATGGATTTCATTGACGCTGATGAGGCCAACCATGTCTTCGTTTGAACACCACTACGTTCTAGCTAGCCAGCTCTTTTCCAGCTTGATCCATGCATTCTATGTCAGAGGCTAACACTGCTCGTCAGTCGAGGAAAGCGATGGCTAGGGATGCATGTGTAACACATGTCCTAACCATTTTACTCAATCGAAGTAACTTCACAACCGCATCAATTGATTTTCCCTCCTTTTCCTTCTCCTGATTACATAGCACTCCATCGAAGCCTAACCGGCTCAATATTACTCACTCTATTACTGCTTCCACCTAAGACGGGAGGTAGATAGGATGCAGGTACACATGACCAAAGACGGCCAGCTAGCAGGAATTTTCATGACTTCCACTTTCATCGATGGATGTCATGCCTCACTCACTGCTTCTGCTGAGCAGTACACACGCCCTTTGGTCGACAGTCGGTCGGATAACTCGTCTTCTAAGCCATCAGGGATGGCGCAGGTAGACGTTGGCAGACGTCAAACGAGACTTCGTCAGATGTCAACTTGCTTAGGCTGGCTGATGCAGCTTCCCAAAAAACTGAAGTGGTCAGCACGCTCCACTACTCCACTTCCTATCTTTAGGCTAGGAGTGGAAAGGAGCAGGATTGTGCACCGTTTTTTGCAGAAGCCTCAGTCGCCTGTTTTTGGTAGCTTGACGAAGTAGTCCTTATTCCAATCGGTAGGCACCTTTCCTTCCTTCCAAACGCTTTGCAATAATAGCATCAACACATGCTATAGGTCCGTTTCCATCGCTTTAGAGAGAATTACGGTTGGTCCTGCTGCCCTTTGAAGACCTCAGTAGTTGCATTCAAGATTCCTGCTTTTGTTGGAGCATTGTTGTCCACCGGTATTTCTCTGCGTGCTCTGGTGGTATTTTTTGACGAGTCAATTCAAGAGTCGTTTGAAGTCATTACCCAATTGTTTTATTTGTTTCTCCTCCTTGGTAATTAGATTCCCTTGACTGTCTTTCATAGATTTTACCTGCTTGATCTCTTCCCGGATAGAGACTTGGTTGTCTGATAAAATATCCTGAGATCTCTTTCACCTGCAGCCTTTTCTATTTCAGTTTCCCGTGTATAGTAGAAATGCCCTTTTGTCTACCCTCACACTCTTCTTCTCTTTACTCAGTGAGATAGATGTACATTTTCGCGTAGGTGTTCAATGCGGTTAATTAAGGTTTGGGAAACTAAATATCCCATTAGCATCGTTAAACTAAAATTGACTATAGTGTAGTGAAAAAAATAGACACTGAACATCAATCAACCTTATCGAGGGAGGAAAATAAAATTTTAAGAATATAGTGAAATTTGATTGGTGATCTGATCAAAACTCGATATATATTTAGTGATAGTAATACTAACTCAAAATCTAACGTACAGCATCAAAATCAGCACCAAGTAAAGAATTTCCCGGCAGTGTTGTAGGGCATATTGTATCTGGTTTGAAGGGATCAAATGCAGATGCTACAATTAAAAGTAAAAAAAGTAAAGTAGTCAACAAAGAAAGTTCACACAATTATTATATCTAGAAAACATCTTCCCCTAATCACTTATAGTGGCAATAATAATCATGAGTGAAACAGAAGAACAGGTCGTAATGTACTCCTGAGATCCTATATTTGTTGGAAAAGAGACATTAAAAAACGACATAATAAACAAAAGTGTACGGGAAAAGGAATAATAATATGGAAAATGAATAGAACAATGCGATTGGATATGACAGATCACAAACAGTGAATGCATCTGCACCATCATCCAAAACGACGATTTTGAGCAAGTTATATCACCAATCGTCTCCAGCGTTTATTGGTTCTTAACATCATCTCAACGACCCCTACAAGTTTACACCTACCTAAGTGGTTGGTTGGCTGACTTAAACTAACTGTTCTTATAGATTTCATTGACACTGAAGAAGCCATGTTTTCGTTTGAACACCACCACGTGCTAGCTCTTTCCCAACCCCATCCACCCATCCTATGTCAGATGAGCTAACATCGCCCGTCGGTAGCGGCATGAGATCAATGGCGATGACTAGATAGGCATGCGTCCCACATGTCCTAAGCATCTCATTCAATAGATGTAACTGCTTCACACACAACCTGCGCATCAATTGATTTTCCCGCCTTCTTACCCAGCAGTCGACTCCAAATCTGAATGTTGGGAGATGCCAAATAAACGACCACTGGGTTCCTTGCAACTCCTGTATGAACACTACTCCATTTCGACTGATAGTGAATACGACAACATGCGAAAAAAAGTTACGCGCAAGATTAAACCAAAATTAACGTAAAACTCGTGAAACAGTTCACTACTGGCCATCAGCTACAGTGCTCCTTGGTTGGTCAGCATCGAGCCAACCACCAACCGAAGCCGAGGTCCGAAGGGATTTGAAACTGTTGAAGTCCAATAAGACGGTGCCCAGCACAATTTACCCTCAGCTGGTTGTTTTTAAAGATGGTGGTGAGACTCTCGTCATGACTTCGACCGGTTTGTTCAGGAAAGTATAGGAAATTGGGGATGTGCCGTCAATGTGTAATGAAGTCATCATCGGCTCTATCTTTAAAAAAGGTCAACATAACACATGCGACAACCATGGGAAGATCAGTTTGCTACCAGTTGTGTCTAAAGTATTAACTGCTGTCTTGCTTCGTAGACACGTGAGAAAATGATTCCAGTAGACCAGGCTTGGTTTCGTTCAGACCGTGGATGCATTGGTCATGTGTTCACTTTCTCTCACTTGTTGAAACAACGTTACACGTATTGCAGGCCAACAATCGTTATGTTTCTTAATATTAGGGTTGCCTTCAATTCGTCGGACAGAACTGTCTGTTAGAGAGGGATGTACCTAAGAAGTTTGTTAACATTCCGAAAGCCGTATATAGAAACAATTCAGATAAAATGATATAAGTAGAAAGCTTGACATGATTATGAGCAATAGTTGGTGCTCGAAACATAATCAGTTAATATTAATGTACAACTTTGTGTGATTTATCAAAATAAAATCTTATCCATAATTGAATTCAGATAAATGCAGAGCATACAACCAGCTATCATTACTGTTCTCAACCAACATTGGGATTAGACAGTGTTGCAGGGGTTTGATTTGTTTCAAAGTTCTGATGGATTTCACAGAAGTATTGGAAAACCAATAGGGAATGAATACTGGATACAACTGTTTCGTTATAGTGTGCCTGAGACCCCATTCAGCAACATAACTAGCCTCCATCAGAGGATTCGAACCCACAACTTTCCGGTTAAACACAACAAAAGCTTGTAAGACACCATATCCAGCCAGTGTGGGACCAAAATCTAAGCTGTCACCAATAGGTAATCAAATAGTTTTCGCATGAGAGAGTTATTCATCATTCTTCTTGATAAAAGAGAATCGTCAGATCTTCGAGATAATCCGAAAACTAAAATTCTCCACTTGTCTTTTGTTAAATAGAAGCTACCCCTTCAACAACAAGATATTTATACATTAAAACGCAGTCCTATATAACACCAAGACTCAGCTACTTTATCCCAGCAATGCTAACTAGGAGTATCTACGAAATTCCATTTATTCGGTGTAATTGGCACAATCTAGAGCATCAATGATTTCAGTGAGAAAGAATATATATATATATATATTTCGTGTGCAAGATCAAGTTAGTTAGTCATTTAGAAGAGTAATTATCCCTTCACCATATATGCATGTTTTAGTCTCCCGCAACATCAACCCATTTTCCACAGAGAAGTCAAAAAACAAAGAAGATTTTGAAGAAATGCATTCATCTGTAATGCTGAGGGGCAATCAGGCTGGTTGGTGGTTCACTTGACTGTGTGGTGTCTATTCTTTACTGTTGATGCTACAATAATCTATGGGGTAAAATCATTGGGTGAACAAACACCCACCAAAAAAGCACTGGAAAAATCGACAACGTGGAAATTAATTTATAATTATGTTTGTTATTTTTGTGAAAAAGTTTCTTACCAGCAGCATTTGCTGTAGACTTTTTACTTTTATCCATCTGAAAATGACAAATTAAAAAAGAGAGAGAGGGAATGTGTTACTTCACCGTAAGGTCGGCAGTCACTGAATACATAGTTTGTGGATTGTATAAAGGAGAAAAAAGATTCCCATTAACAACGCACCAGCTGTATCCTGTAACACCTGATATAAAACATCTGGACAACAAGCTAACACACACACAAAGGAACTTCAAAGTAATCTACCTACAGAATATGTGGGAATCTTGCTATAACAGGTACGAATCGAACATCTTCAAACAGAGCAGAAGCAATGGGGGCGGCAATTAACACATGTTAAAACCTCAACTCTGCATGCCAAAAAAAGAAGTTTGTTCAGTGTTATTAAATCTACAATAGGCAAAACATTCTTCAATTACAGTCAGAAAGGGGAAAAAGGAGGAAATTACAGCATGTCCGCCATTGATTATTGCGATTCTTCGCTATATTCGATAAAGTTCCAAACGAGCCACCAATTCCATCTATCTCTCGGAACTCAACCATGGGGCTGTGTTGCACCACGAACTGGTGCTAACCTAACACAAATATCCTTCATCTCACAACACCACGTCCCACGGTTAGCGAACAGAGACCGGTAAAAAGGCTCTGGGATGATATTCGTGGCACATGTTCATCAAGACATCGAAACCGCTGTTTCCAATGAATGGAGATCTCCACTGTGTTTAAGCACGCGTTGCGAAACCTCCGAATTATTCACACAGTGATGACATTATCGAACAGAAGCAGTACTATGTAGACAGCGAAGGTTGAGTACGGAGAGCCACCGCATATTCTCACCTCGAAGAAGACAGGTTTTACAGGCGTAGAACAAGACTGTATGTTCGATTATTGGGATGTACAATATAAACAAGCTATTCAACGACTATTTTTCGACAATAATATATATATATATATATATATAGTAACCAAAGCAAAGGTTATATATGACACACCGATTCACACACAACAAAACAAATGATATTTCACAAAGACACTTTTGTCTGTCACGCACTCAAACCTCTACCTCAATTTCATCGACTTCGAAAAGGCCTTCAACAACCACCGTTGACGATTGCGAAGTAATTTGGAAACTACTTCAACACTACGGAATGCCGTACCCTAAATCTTTATTAACTTCATTCAACCAGAGCTATAAGGCAATGCCATGTGTGAGACGATTCACAATCGAAAACTCAGTGAAGCATTTGAAGTGAATACAGGAGAAAGACAAGACTGTCTATTATCACCGACGATGATACTCCCAATTCTTGTGGACTAGATTATGCGTCGAACTGTAAGTGGGAAGTGAGAAGACAGGAATACGCTGGACCAACAAGAAGACTCTAGAAGATCTGGATTTCTTATATGACTTATGTTTAATGTTCAGTAATCTCGAGGATTTATAGACGAAAACAAATAAGTTGGAAGAATTAACTCGGTGGCAGATGCGGCAGTACTTCCAGTGAACATACAGAAGTCAGAGTTGGTGAATATATCTAACGAACAACTAAAACAAACACAATCACCATCAACGGCTGAAATCAAAACAAAGCCACCTGCTTCAACTATCTAGTCAGCACCGTTTCGATCACAGCAGGCGGCCAGTCAATATTGGAAAAGCATAGAGGACATTCATCACAGTGACATCAGTGTGAAAACCTGCTGCAACTAGCATAGAAATTAACACCCGGATGTTCAACACTAGTGAGTGTCAGACCAATGCTTCTATATGGCTGTTTTAGGGAATTGGCACGCCGGTTACACGAAAGGCATTCTCCAACAGACTCTACTGCAAACTTCCACATTAACAACAACAGTCTTAGATGACTCGTTACGCGAAATTCACATTGACCAGTCAGAAAGCATATGCAACAAGGAAACCTGCACTGAAACGAATCATTCAAGAACTTATCACACAACAAATATGCCTAAGAAAATGCAGATGGATTGGAAATACCGATGGGGGAACCCCTGAGCAACACAACATGTCAGAAACCACAACTGGGAAACGACTCGTTGGGCGTGCGTTCGAGAGTGACATGGAGGAGATAGTATGAGGAGGAAACGAATAGCTTATGGCTAATTGTATAGCTAGTCAGAAATACTGCAGAGAACAAGGTAAAATGGAGATGTATTACTGAAGATGTCCTTGAAATCCAAGCGAATAATAACAATAACCATACCATGCCCAAATTCTATTCTTATATCAGTAGTGGGTTTCGCTTAATTCACAAATTCTTTAATATTCCGACATTTTAAACATCTTTGACCTTGACTAGTTTACTAGCAGGTACCAGGCCAGTATGAGAGAGACAATTGAGCTTGGGGCTATCAACCCAACCCTGTAAGCAAACAACTCTATCGCTGCCATGACTTGAAGGAGCTGAAGAAATAGACTTAGTCTCGAGTGGAAATGCAGAGGAGAGACGAAATCTGTGGGTAAAAGCCTTAGGGAAGCCAATTGACCGATGACGTGTCTTTTTCAGATGAAGACAAGAGCAAGAATAAGACCGTCGAATGTCTGCATCATGTTTGAGACCAGATAACAAGGTCACTCACAATACGGAAGGGATGAGACATGTTATATAATTTTCGGGAATCTGTGAGAAGAGATGGATTAAAAGTTGACTCTTCGTATTATTAGCTGGAGGATCATAGCCTAGTTCTGGTCATCCACACGACAGCGGTGAGCACACTGAACGTGTAACTATCATCATACCACCAACAGCATAGAAAGCTGTTATGCAGTGAAAAGCCGGTTTCCTCCTTAATATGACAACAAAATTCAATTTAGAAAAAATTTTGGATACCATATTAGTCAAGCTTATTCCCCCGCAATTATCCTAGGAAGACTTGTATCCCCTCTTGTGTAATGCTATGATAATCAATGACTTACATCACAGCCAAACAGGACTACCTCTGATTTCCAAACGCTGCCTAATACCTTAGTTAACGCAAACAATTAACTATCTCCACTGTCCTTAAATACCTCTGGAGTCATTCCATCAGGTCACTTTGCTTTGCTTCGTTACAGATTAGTGAAACATTTCGTAAACTCAGTTAGGAAAGGCGGATCGGTGTTTCTATCCCATCTATCAACGGTGTTGCATGCTCAGTAAGTTGAGAGTGGCTGTTGTTCAGTTAAAGTAAAGTGTTTCGGTTACAATAGAATAATACAATTCAGTTAAGAAAATCACTTACCGACAAATACGGCAAACCGAAAGGATCTAGACCAAACGGATCGGAATCTTCGAATGGATCATTAGTGATTGGTAGACTATTAAATGGATCATCAGTAGACACTTGATAAATAATGAAAAACAATAAAATCAGAGTGAACAAAAAACAAGCAAAATTATTTGGAATGTTATGTATGTAAATGCAACATATATATCCCCATGAACACCCATCAATAAAATTCATCCAAGAACGTGAATCGAACATGCCGTTTCGACTCCTGGATGTAATACTTACAAGGAATACAAGACTGAACAATCCAAAGATCAATATATCGCAAGCCATACATGGACTGGACAGTTTATCCAATAACAGAGCTTCGTCCCACTGATCCGAAAGCGAAACCTAGTATGCTCAAGGATTAGAAAAATCTATTCGGAAGACACTATAGATAGAGTATGAATTAAATTCATTACGTGAAACCATACTACTGGAGGAAAACAGGTATTCACCCCCATTCATCGATAAAAGCATGAAGGGAAAGCTCCAAATGCCAAAACTCTCAACTGTTCCTAAAAAAGTCTACTCATATCCCTACAATTCAAAGGTGATACATTGAAACAGAGAATCTTAGAAACTGCCTTTCTCAATGCCTGAAGAAAGCATTTCAAGCAGCCACCTTACCATGCATCATATTCTCCAGTAGACAGCTAATCCAGTGTAAAGTTATGGAAGGATAAGATACTGCTTTTGGCCACCTCACTGTGTATTTATCAGTTTACTTGTTCGTGTGGAGCAAAGTATGTCGGCCGTACGCAATGTCAAGTCTGCAAACATGTTCATGAATACCCACTGTCCAGCCTGGCTATCCAAAGAGGGGGAAAGAAAAATGCAATCGATTTTATCCTAGAATATATTGTCAACTCTGGACATCAAGCAGCCCCTGCTCCCCACCCATGAGTGCTTCACAGTGCTCTACATAGTTCCTGAATATAGAATGAAAAGACTTCAAAAACTCCATCTGTATATCAGCCGAATCACTCACTGGCTATTTAAGATCTGGAAGCGGACCTCAGTGTTTAAAAAGCACTACACACATTTACTCAGTCCACCGTGACCACAGTAATATCCTTACTATAAGTTTGCTTCATTTTATTATGTAATTTTATCATTGTATTATTACTATAATGCTTATTTTATTATCCTTCTATTATTGTTAACTAATAATATTGGACTGAGTCATGAAGAAAAAACACAATTCAGCGAAGAAAATTTTCTTCATCCACCAAATCATCTCTAGAGGCTGATAAGTCATATTAATATTTACCAAAAATGCATAACAGTCCATTAATGAGTGATAGGATGGGGATGATAAAATTGATATCATTACACAGAAGTGGCTTCATAGGACTTTATGTGCAAATTCATCGACGATAATAATCTGCAAGTAGGTATTCCGGCCCACCAATTAAAGTAACTACTCTTGAGATGGACTTTCAATGTCCAGTCTAAGTTCAACAACATACTCTATAGACGAAGAGATGGAGTGACAACGGTGTCACCTTCGGGTCCTTTACTTGAAGACTGCTTCTTGGCTAGTCTAGAGAATGGTATTTTACAACCTGCTATCGATAGTTTTCATATGTACAAAAGACACACAGATGATACTTTTATTAAATGTGACGAGAATGCTAATATCGGAATGATAACTAAGGAGTTCAACTGCCATCATGCTATCCAGTTCACATCGGAATCCGAGATGAACTCAAAATTCTATTTTTTAGATGTTCGCATGAAAAGGATAACTTACAGTTCTCTTCAAAGATAAATTTACGGGAAACCGACAGGCAATGGACACTATACGACTTTTCATAGTTGTGTCCCTTTGAGAAAAAACAGAAATCTGAGCCACTCCTTATCCTCAAGAATACGGAGGATATATACTGGTGATGATGAGCGTCGGTGGCATAGAGGTTAGGACGCTCGCCGACCATGCGCATGGTCCAGGGTTCGATCCCCGGCCGACGCACTCTTTTACCTCACTTATCCAGTTATAAGATTGGTAAAGAGGAAAGGTTGGGCATAAGGCTAGCAACCCTATCCTGTTAAATTAAACACTGCTACAGAAACTTCAAGCCACTAGTTTGAGGCCCTTTGTTCCACTGGGAACGTGAAAGAAAAAAATACTAGTGATGATACAACCGAGGGTGAATTGGGGAGACTCAGACAAGTCCTCATGGGATATGAGTATGCTTCAAGATTCATCAAGAAAACATGATTCAAATCTAAAACCTGAATAATCCTGGACAGTGCTGGAGAAACTGACATCCATGATCGTTGAATTTAAGGAACTTACGGAAGCGGAGATGCTGCAGAACCGCTTATCCAGATCACTGAGAAATGCCTTCTTTCGGCTGACCTACAGATCGATTTCTATAGTCACTGAATGATCAATAGATGTGTGAAGGATAAACTGCCACTTTAATGTGTGTTTATAAATTCACCTGATCCTGTGGAGCTAGTGATACCGACCCCACAGAGCGAACAATTTCCAAACGCATAGCTGAACATTATCCGGCATGTTTGGCAAAAGAACAATGCAAGACAGTCACTAGCGCAGTTCTCGAGCACTTTGTGAACTCAAGCCACGCAGCTCCATGGGAGTCGTCCTTCAAGGTTGTCTACAAGGTGAAGCCAAATGGTACACAGGGAGTTAGGTTTCGGCATTTGTGTATGACGGAGGCGTTGGCAATTCGTCAATACAACCCCAAACTCTGTATACAGAAAAAGTATATCCAGTCTCTTGTTTAACAATAGTCTTAACCTCTTCAACGGTCGTACCCTGTAAATATTTTATTTTTAATGACTACTTTGCTTTTACTTTAATAATTAATTCACTGTCATCACTCTTACATGTTTGTTTTGTACATTTTCTCATCCTCTTCACGATTGTTAAAGGGACACTCAACAGCCTTTCTTCTCATTACTCAACAACGCTTTTAACTTCACTGAATTTCTAACCCTTTCTTTCTTTGTGCTGTTGCTGAGTACTACGTAATTTGCAACTTTTATCTTTTTAACTTTGAAGCTAATTCTGAGTATTTATATCGTTTATGTCACCCCATCCACCCTCCCCCATAGCACAATAATGGACTACTATATATTTGTGGTGAATATAAAAACGGCTTCTGAAGATGATTTCGCAGATAAACAATATATATATATATATATATATATATATATATATATATATATATATATCAACAGCTTGCTAATCAATTATGCAACACGCATCCCCAATAGCCAAAACTACTTATCGTGATCCGAACATATGACTTGGTGTTTGTATGTATGTGTACGAAGATTTCAGGTCATTTAATATAGACAAAATCAATCAAATATATTTGCATACACCCAAAAATCTATGAAACGATATCTCTCAGTAATATGCTGTAAGTAGCAAGAAGTTTTATTATTATTAGTATCATGGCTTCAATGTTTACGTCGTAAGTAACTCTGAAACTGGTTAGACCAGTAGTTGATTTATTGGAAAACATTGCATTGACGTCTCTTACCAAAATACTCACTGGGTGACATACGGGTTCGAATTTTGGATGAAGTACATGAGATCCCTCTCAAGATTGCAGATATACGACTTGATGACGAGTGCCAACAAGCACGAAACCTCTAGGTTCAAGGCATTGCTTCCTGTCGATTGCCTCCAAACATCTAATATCACCAATTCAGAGTACACCATGATGTCAGGCCACCTAGTCTGTTAGTGGCGACATTGCAAAACTTGACTGACAGCAGGATTCAGTTGGCACGAAACAAACAACTAGAGACATTACACACTAGTTACTGGACAGTGTCCAACCAAATGACTGTATTCCTCAAATCTATCATCAATTTGTCTTCATTGAGTGAGATTAACAGGCTTAAATAGAAATGTTTGAAGTGACAACAGACGAGCTGGTAAACCACTCATAAAACTGGAACCCAATGCGATATGGCCTAAGAATTACAAATTCTGCCAACGGTTCTATAACTGATGATGTCAGTTCGTGATTATTAAACCTGTTAATAATCAAAATCCCTGCATTCACCAACACTTGATAATTATAATCTGGTGCTGAGTTTACAGAAGTTGGAATTCATGAGCTGGCCACTAGACTAGATCCCACTGGCTGAATGGTCTACAAGCTCGCCTGGTAACCCGAAACTGTCCAGTACTAACAATGGTGTCCTCTAACCGATGTCAGCTGACGACGAACTCCTGTAATAAACCCCATACAATATCTGAATGCTTTAACTGATATAAGATAGTTATCATGAATAAGCACTACTAAATTAGCATGAACCAACTAGTTTTTTTTCAATTTTACAACAAACACAACATATTCAGAAGCTCTGACTATTAGTAAGTTAATTAGATAGACTATGTGACCAGATTACACCACCATCACCACCACCCCACACTGAATTGGGTTGATTAGACACAACCAGAAAATAATGTCGATTTGCATAAAGAAAAAACAAAATGTCACTCAAACATGCATATTGGTTTATGAGATTTTTAAGACTGTTGAATTATTCAAGCGTTGGTTTGCAAGTATTTGCTTGGTTCAAGGACTTCATCAAAAGATGACATCGGTTAGAGAGGAGCCATTGGAAAACCATATCGGAGTGTATTACCAGAAACTTGTTTCTGTTGTTCTCATTTTGGAATCATCAACGATATTACATGCACAATGGGGTTCAGACTCATGACCTTCCTCTTAGAAAGAGAGCGAGCTCGAGGACAATCTATCAGCTACTCGGACCTGTTAATCCAATGACAAGCCAGCCCATGAATTCAAACTTCTGCCCATTCAGGCACGATATAGCACGACAGACAATGGCTAACGTCATCGGTGGCGAGTTTTTGTCGTTACACCGAACCTGGATCTGATCCAAAATGGTTGAATGATCTACGAGCTCGCCTTGCAACAGGAAGGCCCTGTTTGCCAATCTTGGTGGCAGGGGCTTACTGCTAAGGATTCCCAAACTAGGACGAAATAACTGCCACTACTCAGAAGTCCTTTTGAAACGATGTCAGCTAACGATGAAGTGTGATCAACGTTAAAGGAATAGTAATATGCAATAAGGAAAACAGAGTTTTTACAGGATATGACAAATCACAGAGTAAATGAACATATAAAACAACATAAAACTTTGCATAGATATGTAGCATCAGTTCGAGTTACCACTCTCCATGCTCCATGGACCACACAAAGCAACAGAAGACAGGTTCAAAAGAGACACACAGACAACATAAACAGAAGTTTCATTAACGGAAAACGAATAGTAATATGCAAGAAGAATAACAGAGTTCTATACAGGATATAATAAATCACAAAGAGTGAATCAATGCAACCCCACCACCAGTGCAGAGAACGACGATTTTCAGCCAGCTATATCACCACCAACTGTCTACAGCCTTCATTGGTTCTTACCATCAATCCAGAGGACCACAGTCAGCCAGTTAACTAGGAAGTCTGCTCATCCCTGCGTGGCTGGCTGGCTGGCTGACTGGCTTAAACTAACTATCATCATGGATTTCATTGACGCTGATGAGGCCAACCATGTCTTCGTTTGAACACCACTACGTTCTAGCTAGCCAGCTCTTTTCCAGCTTGATCCATGCATTCTATGTCAGAGGCTAACACTGCCCGTCAGTCGAGGAAAGCGATGGCTAGGGATGCATGTGTAACACATGTCCTAACCATATCACCTAGCTCCATAACCCCGTGGGCTAATTTTCTCTCCTCCTCCTCTTAACACAGCACCCGGCCGAAGCCTAACCAGCTCAATATTACTCACTTTATTACATCTATCACCTAAGAAGGGAGGTAGATAGAACGCAGATATATATGATCAAAGACAGCTAGCTAGTCAGCCGGTCTTTTTATGTCTTCCACTTTCATCAATGGATGTCATGTCTCACTCACATACATCCAGCCACAAAGCAGGAGAATGCTGGGCATCTATTTCCGGGAATAATTGTATCTAGTAGCAATTTTACTAGTTGTCATTGCAGACACTTTGGAATATGGATTCTGTAACCCTAACCTGTAGGGACCAATGAGTATCCCTGTGTACGTGTGTCAACATACACATGAAGTTGGTAAACACAGCGGGATGTGACAGAATGGTTAGGATGCTGTGAGGGTTTACAGGACAGCATACATCTCATTTTCTCGATGAAAATAAGTTTGACTGCATAGTAAATTGCATAAATTGCAACACTGATACCTTGTATACTGATGAGACTACGTTGATCACTCTTGAACAACAAGGATACACAAGCATCGCTTTTTCGAGGTGACTGACTGGATCAGTAGAGTTCTTTTTTGATAGTTCTGTAATGCTCAATGAATTTCAACGACTAGTTGTTATCTAAGAATATTTCAGTCAAGTGTTGTGTTTCCCACTCTTCTTCTTCTTCTTCTTTAATGGTGTCTGCTGTACAAATGTATACTAAGTGCCGCGTCAGAACAAGCACTTAACCAGCGGGTTTTCATACTTAGTAGTGAACAGAAACTATGATAATTTAGATACTGTCCCGTACATGTAGGACTTTCTGTAGACGGATCATTTCATTGACTCATCTTGTCGGCGACGAGTTATGAGTACATCTAAAAATGATAAGCAATCATTATTCTATTTCACGTACGTTAGCAATATGCTGTGACCATGACCTCTACACATTTGTATTGATCTGTATTGTAATAGTGCTAGCAACATGGCATTTTATACTGTTTTGTTCTGGTTAGAGATTTCTATGGCATCTGTCGGTTTATCACAAATAAGTATTATGCCATCCACCTATCTCTTATAAAAATAAACTTTCCAATTACGGCCTCAGCTAGTTAGCCAACAGACTACATGTTTATATCAGCTAACAACGGACCTAAGAGGCTTCTCACATCAATATCATCGATCTGGCGGAAATGCTGCTCGCCCTCTGATATGCATCAATATATATATATATATATATATATATATATGATGGTCTCTCTCTTTCTGTTGCTCTCTTAGTCTGTGACCATTTCACTTTGATGAACCTGTCTCCTTGAACAATGTATATTCCCCTTATATTATATATAATATGTCTGTTTGTTGACAGTCTGACCTTGGTGATATATATCCATATAATATGTGTGTCTGTTGACATGTCTGCTATATTTTGCTATGTATATATGGATCGATACTCCATTATAATTAGCCAATCATGTTAAGACTGTCTATTGATTTGTTCACACACTTGTTTGGACATTCACATATATTTCGCTCTCACACTATTGTGTGATACATTGATTCTCCTTGTGTTTTGGAAAATAGAAGTATCATCTCAAACCTAGTGGTCTTCTGATTTCCGTCTTTCTTGCGTCATGATTGTTAAATTCTCGACCAGTACATAACAATAATTTGGCGACGAGTACATAACACCCTCAGATGTTAACTGAACATTTTGACTACATAAAAGCATCATCTCTTTCGAATAAGATAGAGACGCTGGTAATGAGAAATTGTTTAAGAGATGTAGTCATACAGAATGTCAACCGCCTGTAACAGAGGTGCATTTGTTAATAAAGAGTTAAAGTCTAAGGAAAACATGGTTTTGTCGTTTATGTCAACGTTACGAAGACGCTCTGTTACTAACTCAAAAGTATGTTTCAATGCACACTTACATAGGCTTCTCCTATTAGGCCCTAATATTTCCAATAACCACTTCTCAGGTTTGTGTTGGAGATCTGTACACTGACATTATGGGATGCAGAGGGATATTTGGTTTATGTATTTTAGGCGAAAACCATCGATGTGTGGTATTTAGGAATCCGTGGGCTATAGTCAGTTGAATTTCTCTCAATCAATTACATTCATGTTTAAGAGTATTACTAGATTAATAGTCATCTTATTTTGTACATCCTCCACATCTCCCAAAGTGAAGTCCCTGGTAAATGTATCATTGTTTCCAAGAATGCATAACATTTTACTTCTGTATTCAATCTTGTCCATTATAACTACACCAGAACCTTCATCTGGTCCGAGGACACAGGATGTCAATATTATGTTTTAGTTCTTTTACAGCTTTAAAGTATCCAAATGTTAGCATGCTTTTCTCAAATGTACAACTATTGCAAAACCGGTGAGCGATGTCACCTAACTTTGCTTTCAACCAACCATGGTGAACATTAGGACCGGGAAAAAGAGGCTTCTTCGATCATATAGACTTTTGAATTGTGAATGGATTTCAAGTTTTGAGAAATACTTTTGAGTGACATCACATTTAGATCCTAGTGACTAAAATGGTATAGAAGATAGGTAGATAACATATTTGTCTGTTTTAACATGGGAAGCAGAGGGTACAGAACATAATCCAAAGTGGCTGCAACAACAACAACTGGTAAAATCACTACCGGATACAATTAATCCCGGAAATAGATGTCCAACATCGTCTATGTACAGTGAAACGCATCAAGGTGTTGATTGCAATTACCGCTTCAAACCCATATATTATGAAACAATAGGTTGATGCCTTCCTTTGCCGTAAAAAAGCCTAAACCTGTCTTATGCGTGCAAAAACAATTATTTGTTATTACTTTGAACCTGCGAATTGGTAATCCAAGGCTCAATTTCCTTAATAATATTGTCATCCTTTCTTCTCAGTCTTCTTATCCCACATCTTTATGTCGTCTTCCTACCCCATATTTAGCCTCTATAATAATGCTAATAATTCATATTAGACCTTGCCTTCTATATAAGTAAATATGTATTAGACAAGTACACATGTACGTCATCAGAATGTCCGAGATGTGTTGCACAAACACAATTACACTACGCGTTTCAAATAAACTGACTACGTCTTCTTATTGTTTTGCCGAAATTCACTAAAGGGAATTAATTGCTTTAGATTGTAATTTGTTGATGTTGTTGAAACTACATAAGCTCTTTCAAAGCAAAATAATATTTTAAAAAATCTCTCTAGAAAACTACCTTTATGAAAGTCATTGCCTTTTGAAGGAACTTTGAAAGGATCACCAGAAATCGTATCAAAAGGATCCGACGGGAATGGAAAACCGAGTGAAGAATTTAAACGACCTTTCTCATCATTTGTCTTCCAATCACCACCACGTGGCAAAGGGTTGGTCAGCATCACAGGCAGTGGTACGGATTGAGCACCCGTGTTCATCGCTCGTGTTGTGTCAAATGCTGATAACGTTGACTGACCAAATGCAGTAGAAGTGGTGGTCATAGGTCCAAAACTGTTCGACCAAGTGATACCGCCTAGCCCAGTATCGATACTTCGCAGGCTACCTTCTGGACTTTCATCTGAAAGCTGAGAATGAATACATAAAGACCCAATTAAGAGGTGATACGTAAAATAGAGATTTAACAATATTATAATTAAACCCCAGACACTTATTCACCAAGTACCAACAACCAACCGGCTTGGTCGAAATTTCTATAGAGTCTAAAACAAGCGATAGAAGGTCTTCATAAGGTAGGGTTTAATGAATTCATCAAATTTCGGTGAAATTGTTCCTGAGGTGGATGGATACTCTAAAAATACAGGGACATAGAATTAAGATTAAATGCCTTATACAGTTCAATTGCATCACACTCACACAAACAATTAGTTAGTTATCAATAAATTATTAATTTTGAAATAAATAGTATTAATCATAATAGTGATGCCAATAACAGTAACAATAATAATATTTTAAAAAACACTCCATGGATAGGAAAGTATATACGTTTTAAAAGTTTTGTCCCAATCGTATGTAAAAAAGAATTTAGTCAAAATATTGTTCAACAGAGCACGCCGAATTTGTTCTCCCAGTACAACTGAACGTGAAATAAAGACTCTGAAGAATGCTTAACCTGAAATTGGATACCCTGAGATGTACATCAATAAATTCCCTAATGAAATGAACCCTCAGCAAAACTATCCAGTAATTTTCGAAGATATCTGCATATATAAATTTACCGTTCAAAGGAGATGATGTATACAAGAAGTAGTCAAACGAAGACTCCACTAAGGCTATCAAGAGAACCTATTACTGCTGTAATCTATGAAAGACCACTATCCGCCAATCCCCGACACTTCAAACTGACTACATCAATTTGAGTGTGTTTGTGGAAGCAAATACATACGTCGTACAGAAAGCGATTGTCCACTCGCATGACAGAGCATTTGCCAAAGTGGTTGTAACTGGCTGAAGCCAAAGTACCAGAAAGTTCAACAACAAAGCACTTTGGGGACTACAAACATGATATTAACACTGTCAGGTCATTCACTGTTGTCAGCAGACAAAGAAACAGGGAGATAGTTACGATTCGGGAGGAGGCCTGTTCAATTAGGGCTTATAAACCAGGTCTCTGTACGCAGAAGGAAATGGTGGTCACCCTGAATCTACCATGCTAATGTGTTTCATTTATTAACTGTTATTATCACTATTAATAATTTATCCTACCTCTTATTATTACTATTTCTGATTCATTTAAAATCATCTTTTATCGGTAGCATTATCTCAAATCGTTTTAACATTAATATTATCAATACCATTTGGTTCTCAATTCTTCATGTATTTCAGCTCTTCCACTCACTGATAGCTAACTAATTGTTTATTTGAGTGATGCAATCGAACCTTGTATCTTATCTTAATTTTAACCTCCCTTTCTCCCTTCCTCTATCTATCTGTCTGAGCATGACGTGGGAAACATTCACACCTGTCGTTTTGTATCATTAATTCAATGTAGTTTATTTGTTCATCAGCCTTATAATGAAGAAATGTTAAACAAAGGAAACACCGAAAGTAATATCAGGGAATTCCTAGCAGCTTCGTACTCAGAAAACAAGCAATTAATATACATATTGCTATAGCCCAAATTTCCAATTACATTTATGTAGAATTTATTCATGAATGAGGACAGTAACAAAAGTGACGAGTTGTCAAAATCATAGTTTTCAGTTAATATTAGTCAATGCATCAGAGGATTTGATTAAGTGCACTAGAGTTACGTGATAAATTGGATAACTTAATGAAGGAATGAGTTGTAATCAGGGTGCATATCGAAACATGAAATTATGTAAGAGGTCTATAGAAATACAGGAGTTTTAAGGAGTTAAACAAACAAGTACACAAAAATGAAGTCAGCAGAAATCGACAACAAGGTGACCACCATGATAGTGGAAATGGTTGAGTAATTTTCTTCTGCATGCACATAACTTTGGTTTTTCCACATGTATGGCTAAGGCTTCACCAGAACAAAGGAGACGAAAGTGTAGTGCTTTTGGCAGGTTACTCTTTACTTTGTACATTACTTACAGGGAAGAGGTGTTTCTTGAGAGATGGAATGACCAGTGATGTTGAAAAGGCGTTTGATTATCGCACTCCTTGTTATAAAGCCACTACTACCTTTCCGCAGCCATGCTGTGGGATAGTATCCTTTAACACTTTTGGAAAGGATACATGTTGAATGGCCTGTGTCGCGGACTCCATAGCAACACGTTAACTGGTATAACCAGGTTCATAGGAGTGGTCAGACGCGAGATCTTTTTCTTAAGGCAGGCGTCTGCAAACCATTGGACGACAGACTGGAGAAAATTACTGTCTTCGCGTTGCTGCGAAGAATATTTACCTCAAAGATGCTGAAATTCGTCTCTTGAGGATATCTCAGGGGCTAAGTCTTCCTTGATATTCGGGTTTACGTAAAGCTACTTTTCTTGGAAAAAGTGAATATATCAGTTACCGCTTGTAACTGACTTATAACCACAATTAAAGGGAGATCCATAATGCATAACCACAAATGTGAAAAACTCTAGTTCCGAAGCTAATAAATGATAAATAAATTTATTCATCCTTTTGTACATTCGATACTTTAGTGAGATAGAATTACAAACATCCAACTTCAGAGAAACCTAATAACATATAAAGAAATACGTTAGTCATATTAGCTAGTGACTTCTCTTGTGCGTTGAAGTTCCTGTGGCAGTTTGATTGATTTTCTGGGATAGCATCGGTAGCCCCATGCTGGGCCCCCTTCCTCTATACCCGGGTTCGAGACCGGGTAGAAAAGTAAAAAGCTGATGAACTAGACGAGGTCACCGGTGATATTCCTGGTTGTGGTCGACTGGATTATGCACCAGACTATGTGTGAGGGAAGAGATGACAGGAATATGCCGGACCCATAGGAAGACTCTAGAACATAGGGATTTCACGCGTCGATCATTTATGTCGTTGCATATCACACAAACTCAAAGACTTACAGGTAGGCGAAAAACAACAACCTGACAGGAACGGCTGGCAGTGAAGACAGGAGACTCCAGGTGATGAACATAGAGAATATGGAGATGATTAGGATAACCAACCAACCAATCAACAACAACAACAACGACAACCAGCACCAATCACTCACCAGGAGCGGGAGAAATTTGATGTGAGAGGTCTAATCATGCCTTCACTTATCTACTTACGCAGCAGCATCGTTTCAACCACAGGAAGTTGGAACCGTTGAAGATGTCAACGTCAGCCAGTCAGACAGACAGGATAGGAGAAGCAAGACAGCACATCTTCATCACTGTGAAATCAGTTTGGAAATCTTTTGCACGCCATTTCATCATAAACAACAAGATTCGGATTCTATCCAACACCAATGTTAAGTCAGTCAGTTCTTATGTATGGGTCTGAAACTTGGTGTGTGCGCCATCAAAGGTAATTCCAATAGGCTACTGCAGAATTTTATCAATAGTTGTCCACTTCGCTGACTACATAGTGAATATCAAATGGTCGACTGACCAGAAAGTATTTAGCAACGAGAATCTCTGGGAACAAACTAACCAACAACAAATAAACTCAACAAATAAATAATAATAATTTTTCCTTCACGTTCCCAGTGGAACATAGGGCTTCAAGCTAGTGGCTCAAAGTTTCTGTCGCAGTGTTTCTATTCTATAGGATGGAATTGCTAGCCTCATGCCCAACCTTTCCTCTTTACCAGCATTATTTCTGGCTTCGCGAGGTAAAGGAGTGTGTCGGCCGGGAATCAAACCCAAGACCATATGCATGGCTGGCGAGCGTCCTAACCACTATACCACCGACGCTCGCTCAACAAATATGTAGGGGCAAATGAAGATTGATTGGGCGCACGTTGAGGAGATAGTCGAATGACATCGCGCGCAATGCAGGCCGTCGCTCAAGTATAACCCGAATGGGAAGCGACTAGTTTGACGTCGGTTCAAGGGTGACACCGAGGAAATCGTTTAGGCGGAAGAAATAAAGAACTATAGGCAATCTTGAAAGGAGCTAGATAAAGAAGACAGCAGGAAATATAACACAGCGGAGACGTACTATTGCAGCCCCACATTCTACTCAGAACCCATCGGGACAAAAATAATCAGCTAGTTAGTGCATAAAATAAAAAATAACTTAAAATAAAACATAAAAATAGTTAAACTAATCAGCTAGCTTACCAAGGATTTAACTCTTGCTTCATCTGGTTCCTTTGCATTTTCATCACCATTCAACAAACCATTGTACTGCTCAAGAACTTCTAGCAGTTGACTACGTGTAGATTCTAAGGTGCCTAGTTTCATATTAGCCTATATTATAGGGAGATAGGCATCTATAGTTTAAACTAAGTAAAAACAAAGTACACACTAACGGTAATTAATTGAGTGAGATTAGACTACCAGATTATACAAGCTACGAATGACAAAACTATACATAGAGAGAGAGAAAGACTGTCCGTTTAATGAAGATATTATAAAGCATGAATCCTATATCTCACAAAATAAGCCGGAAATTTATAACAAAATCTTTCAAAAATGAGAGATTCACTCCTATTACAGACGTAGTATTAGTAGCAGTAGTAGTCAACTGATACTCAGAGGTCTCCCTAATCTGTGGATTTAAAATTATCCATTGAATCGAGGTCTCTGAGGCTGGATAGTCTATGAGAGCTTGTCTTGTGACCGGAAGGTATCCTGGTGTTAAACTATGTCGGTGGATGCCTACTGTCAAAGTCCAAAGTAAGGACGAAACAGCTGTCCAGCACTCCCTGGTTACAGCATTTCATCATGAAACGCTTACATCTAGAAAACAGATGCGAGTACTGTTAGACAACTATTTTCGTTGTCCTAGTATCTGGAAGTTTTAGGCAGTACACACCCACCACATAAGTTCAAACCCACGTCCTTCTGGTTACATAGCGAGCTCGTAGAACATAAATCACCTATTGGGGTCCGCCAATCCAATGGTCCATGAGTTTCAACTATTGCCAATTCACGCACAATTTTTTAAAAAATTTTTAAATTTAATTTCTAATTTTTGAATGCAGCTTGATTCCACACCGTATTTTTTGGAACAGGTATGGAATTTCCAGCATGTGACATCGGTAGCCCAAATTTTGCAGGCCGACCATTGATATCAGATATGCGTCGGCAGAGGATCGAACCACGGACCATGTGCATGGACGGGAAGAGTCCTAACCACTGTGCGACTGGCACTAGTCAATATCGTTGGTGCCAAGCATTTGTGCTCACACCCGGCCAGCTGTACCCCACTGGTAACAACTTCCCACTACATATCAGGTAACTACCTACCTGAATACGGTCGCCAGTCGCAAGTGGGCATCCAATTGATATTCGACTATTAGTCTGGAGCAGGGAATTGATTGCTTACAGGATTTCCTAATGCATGAGCTGACATTGATCAGAGAGAGAGGAACATTCGAAAACCAGCTGAGAGTACTCACACACAGCTGTTCCCATCGTCCTAGTTCAGGACTCCGCTTCAACAGCACTTACCCAACCAACGCCAGGATTCGAACCAAGGACCTTCCGGTTATACAAGGCGAGCTCGTTTTCAATAGTTTTATAACTGGAATCCAACCGCGATCAAACTTCACAATAATGTACAAATTGTAAACTTTCCGATTAACTAAACAGTCAAAAATCTTATTTTTCATGATACTTCATGCTCTAGGAGACCACATTTGTTCTCCTTGCTTTAGAGTAACCGAAATCCAGAGGTCGATCGGTCATATAATAACTTACTTGATCTACACGTGATTGAGCCAGTCGATTTTCTTTTTCAATCTGTTCTAAACGACGTTGATTTTCAGCAATTTTATCTTGTAACATCGCCTCTTCTCTTATCAGCTCATTGAGTTCATTTCGTAAACAGGTAATTTCTTCTTTTTGACTCTAAAATTTCATAAAATCATTTTGATAATTATTTATTTATTATTATTATTATTATTATTAATTTGAATAAAGCGAAAACAACAATAGTGCTTTGTGAAGAATAAAATGGTGCCACCATTGTGTATTTCGTTGGCTTCTCACCAGCTGCGTAAAGCCTCCGATTTTCCGAACGTATACCGAAAAAGCTACATCTCCTTAGTGCCATTGTCAGATATATCACTGGTTACGGGTTATGAGGAGGGGGATATCGCGAAATGCTTCAAAATTATCAAAAGACAAAAGAATTCAATTGTCCACAAGTATACCAAAACAATCCCTATCAAACGGCTGGAACCCGACCTATATGTTCAGAAAGAAGGAGTTTACTTGCCTTGGTAACAACTGAATGTCTTTATCCTCTCTCTCTCTCTCGTTTAATCACGTAACCTTTGGCTTTAACCTCAACCCCAACCCCCAACCCAGGAGTGACATAATGTAAATTTGCTTTTCTCTTGTTTTTGTGATTTGACTTGAACTCTGTTACTCACTCAATTTATTAGTTACTCATCATTTTACCTCTTGTCTTTATTACGTAACTCCTTTGCCATCATATGTATAGAGTGATTTTTGTTAAGACTTGAACTCTCTGAGGGGTGAAAAGTACAGAAGCGTAATTTTCTGAGCACTGTTCATTAACTTTGGAACACATCCTGTCATTAACTGACAGTGGCAAGTATGTTAAAACTGTTATGTGTACATTACTTTAATAATGCATTCAACCTCTACGTGGTTGATGAGAAGCCAACGACATAAATGATGATGCCAACTTATTCTGTACAAACAGTTATTCCTGCTTTAATCAAATTCATAATAAGGAATAAATATTATTTTATTTAAAACACAAAAGCCTGTTGCAGTATAGGCAGTACCAAGAAGATGAACCACACAATAATAGAAACGAGCAACATATGAAAAAATAGGTGGTGAATGAATAAGGAATTCACCAGAATTTTAAGTAGGTGTGTTTATTAGTACCAAACAACAGTATTCATCGAATTATTGTCAGTAAAGGAAAAAAAGAAGGGAGATAAAGCAACTTCGCTATTGATGCTTGCAATTCTTGGACATATCGGATAACGTTTTGAGCGAGCCACATATTCCAGCTACTTCTCGGACCCCAATCAGACAATCATGGTGTACTGCCAACCGATGCTAGCCTAACACAAATATCCCAATTTAAACGACGCCAGGTCATAAGCTGGCTTCTCCTATTTTTCCATTCCATCACAGGGTTGGAGAACAGAGACCGATAGGCAGAGTTAGAGAGAAATGGAGAGACTGGGCAACCCTATCTAACCCCACACTGTTGGTTACAAGCAGGGATAATAGCTGCATGTATGTCCAGTGACTATCTGAATTCTTCCTATATACGGCTTCCGGAATGTTAACAGACTTCTCAGGTACAGCCTTCTCTAACAGACAGTTACAAAAAGCAGTTCTGTCCAATGAATTGAAGGCAACCCTAATATTAAGAAACATAACGACTGTTAACCTGCAATAGTGCGACGTTCCAACAACAGACGAAGGGTGAACACATGACCAATGTGGAATTGATAGTGTTCTCTGAGCTCCTTGGTTTAATTGCGGAGCTTTCATCGTCTTTCTGGACGACATCTTCAGCGCAGTATTTAGGATAAAGTGAAATGATTTAAATTTCTTCATGAGTCTCCCGGTAACCATCTTTAGATATTTATTGACCGTTTTCTATTGATTGGGATTTTAAACTTTCTGATCACCTGATTTACTTCTTATTAGTTGGTATATTTCATCTATATTAACGTGTTTATTAATTGCGTTTTCATTTGAGTACCAGGCTTCTAGGAATTCTCTGGCACATTTGGTGTTTCCTCTGTTTAAGATTTTGACATTATCCCAATCAAATTGATGTCCATGATCGTCTGAATGTATTGATACTAAAGAATTTATATCATGTCTTTTCACGGCTGATTTGTGTTCCTGGATTCTTATTCGAAGGGGACGCCCACTTTGGCCGATGTAATGTTTGTTACAGTTCACACAATTTATTTTGTAAATGGTGTTAATTTTATCTCCCTTTTCTATCGGATCTTTTGGTTCGCATAAGATAGAATTAAGCGATTCAGTTGGTTTGTGTGCTACATCTATATCAAACGGTTTCATTATTCTAGCCGTTATTTCACCAACACAGGAAATTTAGAAACACAAGTATACAGAAAGTCAACGCACACAGATCAAATACTCAACTATACTAGCAACAATCCAATTACTCACAAAAGAAACTGTGTGCAGACATTGTTTAGAAGAATTCAAACACATTGTAGCACACCAGAGTTGAAAAGAATGGAAGAAAGATACTTACAAACGGTGTTCAAGAAGAATGGTTATCCAAAAAATTTCATCAAAAAGTGTTTAAAATCGAATGAAAGCACCAACAAAGAACCATCACCAAAGACCAAAAAGCAATTCATCCTACCATATATCAGAAACATCTCTGAAATAACGGCTAGAATAATGAAACCGTTTGATATAGATGTAGCACACAAACCAACTGAATCGCTTAATTCTATCTTATGCGAACCAAAAGATCCGATAGAAAAGGGAGATAAAATTAACACCATTTACAAAATAAATTGTGTGAACTGTAACAAACATTACATCGGCCAAAGTGGGCGTCCCCTTCGAATAAGAATCCAGGAACACAAATCAGCCGTGAAAAGACATGATATAAATTCTTTAGTATCAATACATTCAGACGATCATGGACATCAATTTGATTGGGATAATGTCAAAATCTTAAACAGAGGAAACACCAAATGTGCCAGAGAATTCCTAGAAGCCTGGTACTCAAATGAAAACGCAATTAATAAACACGTTAATATAGATGAAATATACCAACTAATAAGAAGTAAATCAGGTGATCAGAAAGTTTAAAATCCCAATCAATAGAAAACGGTCAATAAATATCTAAAGATGGTTACCGGGAGACTCATGAAGAAATTTAAATCATTTCACTTTATCCTAAATACTGCGCTGAAGATGTCGTCCAGAAAGACGATGAAAGCTCCGCAATTAAACCAAGGAGCTCAGAGAACACTATCAATTCCAAATCATCCACCTGAGTTACAAATCTTTTCTATTACATGACCAATGTGTCCACGGCATGAAAGAAACCAAGCCTGCTCTCCGCAGACCAACTCCTCACGTGTCTTGCACAGCCTGTGAAGCAAGATAGGAGATAATATTTGAGACACAAGTGGTAGCAAACTGTCGCATGTGTTATGCCGACCTTTTTTAGAGATAGGGTTAATGACGACTTCATCCCACATTGATGGCATATCCTCAATTTTCCATACTTACATGAACAAACCACTTGAATTCATGACGAGAATCTTACCGTTATCTTCAAAAAGAACCAACTGGGAGTAGATTGGGTTGGGATCCGTCTTATCGCACTTCAACGCATGCAGATTATTCCTTCGGACCTCCACCTCGATTGGTGGGTGGTTCGGTACTGACCGACCGAGGAGCATTGTAGTTGATGATGGTGGATGTTGGCGCTGATGGCTAGCTGTAAACTACTTTTCAAAGTGCTCTGTCCAGTGTCCAGGCGTCTTTTCATCAGCTTGGTAATTGGCGTACCATCGGCCTCATAGACCATTTCGCTACCACCTTGGTTCTTGTTGCCAGTGGCTCAGGTAAGCTGGAACGACTGTTTCCCCATACAGCTGTTGACTTCATTTCGCACACAGGTTCGTCCTGACCACCAGGCTTCGAGGATTTTACGTAAACACTGTCGGTTTTATCTTGTGCGTAACGTCTGTAGCATGCTATTGTATTCGCTACCAGCCGGAATGAACTAGCGTTCATAGAGGAGTTTTGTAAGGAAATCGCAGAAACCTAGTGTTGGCTTTTAGGGGAGAGTTCTTTTAAGCCGCCAGAAGCTTCACTCTCCATTTGTATGGCACCTTGCAGATATAGCCAATCTTCACCTACACTGCTTGGAAGGTACGGGCTAACGAAATAGCCGTAACACTAGACAAAGCTATATAGCAAACTTAAAACCACCGAGTCTGTATAATAGCATAATAAAAACCAGTGAACTAAATCAAGAATAGGCAGAAATTACAATTCATAGACAGGCCTTTGGATAGGGTCCCAGTGGCTAAATGGCTAGCGAACTCGCTCGCCTTGTAAAAAGTGTCCTGATTTCGAACCCCGGTGGTAGATGGGTGACTACTGATGAAGCGGAGTCCTGAACCAAGACGATGGGAACAGCTGTATGGTAGTACTCCCAGCTATTTTTCGAATGCTTCTCTCTCTCTAAACAATGTCAGCTCATACACGATGAAGTCCTATAACTAATCAAATCCCTGTTGCAAATCAATCATTGAAACACATACTTTCGTTGAAGCTTGTTGAGAGTTGATTTTCATTCGCATTTCTTCAACTTTTTGACGTTCATTCATCACATGATTTTTAATATCATTGAGTACACCTTCCAGTGATTCTTTACCACGATGATAATCAGCCAGGCGACGTTCAGCTTCAATACGTTGATTAGCTAGATAACGTGATGTATGATTCAATGTATCAATTGTACGTTGTTTCGCAGTAGCCTCCGATGCTCGACGCTGAGAATCGTTAGCCAATGTTGCATAAGCTGATTCTACAGCAGATTTCTCTCTAAAATAAAATATGAAAAGTGAAAAAAAGGCTGGAAAGAAAGATGTTCACTCTAATCATTAGGAAAACACTATGACAAATCTCTAAAAAGATCTGTGCATCCACCGGAAAAGTACATGATATGGACAACTACCTAACTTTTATCGTTGAATACCTATCACTCCAAAAAAAGGAACTTCATTCATTTAAACAATTGCTCTGACTGCATTGACTCAGAACTTCCCCCTCTTAAAAGCCACACTCGAAGCAGGAAAAAAACGGCTACCGAAAACCGATTTATTGACAGAATCAAGAAATATGATAAACAGTAAAAATGGATCACTGACAATCAGTAGTTCCAAAGAAAACCACATTCATTTGATTACAGGATTTCATCATGAGCTGATATTATTTAAAGAACCATTGGAAACCTGCCAGGGAGTACTGGACAGCTGTTTCGTCCTAGTTTGGAACTCTTCATCAGTACGCACCCACTGGGATTCGAACCCAGGACCTTTTGGCTACAAGGCGAGTTCGTATACCATTAAGCCACTGGGACCCAATCCAATGCCCCTTGAATTCTAACTTCTGCCAATTCACGACATAGCGCGACCCCTATCCAATGTCTTCGGCGAGTATTTGTCCTCATACCCGACCTGCTGCACCCTACTGGTCACGACTTCATTTGAATTTGGAATTAAAATGGTGAACCAGGTTTCAGATATATGCTCAAAAGTCGTCTCTAACTAAATCAATCAGTCAGTCAACAAGAAGTTCTTTGTTGCAACCAACCGTTAGTTAATGTTCTCCATATCTCTGCATGTTGTTTTATTGTATAGTTGTCGTCGCTTTTTGCCCTTTTTTCTGTGAACTGTTTCCTTTGTTGATGTTGTTCTCATTGTTTGTCCGTTATTTTCTGATTTTGAGGGGAGCAACCCAAAAAGTTGCTTCTCTCTAAACTTTAACTTAATGTAATCATTCCTTTCTCAGGCGTGAGGCTAGCAACCCCACCCTGTAAACAAAATTGCTAAAGAAACTTCAGTATGATGAACCTCTTTGCACCAAAAGAAAAAGTCTGTGTGGGAACATGGAACGTCCGAACTATGTACGAGACTGGAAAGCTGCCCAGATCGCCAACGAGATGAAAAGATACGGAATACAAGTGCTGGGAATATGTGAAAGCAGATGGAATGGGAGTGGACTCACCAAATTGTCAACAGGTGAGTCAGTGATCTACTCCGGTCACCCAGAAGATAACCACACGCACACCGAGGGCGTGGCTATCATGATGTCACCAACGGCAACGAAAGCCCTGATACAATGGGAGGCGATTTCGTCCAGGATAATGACCGCCAGGTTCAACTCCAAAGGAAGGAAAGTGTCAATCATACAATGTTATGCACCCACAAACAACGCAGACCTCGAAAGGAAAGAAGAATTCTACAGGCAACTACAGGCAACAATGGACAATACTCCAGCTGGCGACATGAAAATACTAATGGGAGACATGAACGCCAAACTGGGACCAGACAATACAGGAAGGGAACTCATCATGGGTAGAGAAGCTCTAGGAGAAATGAATGAAAACGGAGAACTCTTCGCCGACTTCTGCGCCTTCAACGAACTGGTGATTGGTGGCAGTGTATACAAGCACAAAGATATCCACAAGGCTACATGGGTGTCACCAGACGGGCAAACCAAAAACCAAATCGACTTCATCTCAATCTCAAGGAAGTGGAGGCGCAGCCTACTGGACACAAAAGCAAGAAGAGGAGCAGACGTTGGCTCAGACCACTATCTCGTACAAGGGACAATCCAAATCAAATTAAAAGCTTTCAGGGAATCAGGAGCTGCAGATAGACCACAAGCCAAGTTCAACACTCAAAAGCTGAAGGACCAGGCTACAAAGGACATCTTCATTGCAAGCATAAAGGACAAAGCCGAGACACAAATCAACACTAGCGAAGAGGTCAGCGTCGAAAAGCACTGGAACAACTTGAAAACGGTGTGGAGCCAAACCTGCATAGAAATTCTAGGCAGAAAAAAGAGACAGGACAAACAGTGGCTCACTACGGACACTTGGAAACTAATAGAAGAGAGAAGGACAGTGAAGCAAAAGATTATCCAGTGCACGACGAGCAACAAAAACAGGAGCTGAATGCAAGCTACAATACACTGAACAAAAGAGTGAAGAAGAGTGCCAGGGAAGACAAAAGAAAATATTATGAAACCATGGCAAACGAAGCAGAACAAGCTGCAGGCAAAGGAGACCTCGCCACACTCTACCAAACAACTAGGAACCTTTCGGGCAAACGTTCGACACAGATTAAGCCAATAAAGGACGACAATGGAAAGTCAATCACCAAAGAGGTGGAACAGAGAAAGCACTGGGTTGAACACTTCAAAAGACTTCTAAATCGTCCGCCACCTACAACACGCCCAGCAATACCAACAACGGAAGCAGAACTACCAGTGAACACTGACCCCCCGACGAAATCAGAAGTCCTGAATGCAATCAAGATGCTAAAAGCTGGGAAAACACCGGGACCAGATGGAATCCCAGCAGAGCTTTGAAAATAGACCCAGAGACAACAGCGGACTTGATGACACCACTGCTGGAGAAGGTGTGGAAAGAGGGCAAAGTACCCGAGGATTGGAAGAACGGATACTTATTCAAACTTCCAAAGAAAGGAGACTTAAGTCAATGTAAAAACTGGCGTGGAATTATGCTTCTGTCCATTCCAAGCAAGATACTAAGTCGCATCATCCTGGAGAGAATCAAACAAGCCCTAGATGAAAAACTTCGTCCGGAACAGGCTGGATTCAGGAGAAACAAATCATGTATTGATCAAATCGCCACTCTACGGATCATCATTGAACAAAGCTTGGAATGGCAGTCACCTCTCTATCTCAACTTCATCGACTTTGAAAAGGCCTTCGACAGCGTCGATCGAGAGGTCATTTGGAAACTACTTCGCTACTACGGGGTCCCATCGACAATTATACATCTCATCCAACAGTTATACGACAATGCTGCATGCCAAGTAATCCACAACGGGAAACTTACGGAAGCCTTCGAAGTGAGGACGGGAGTGAGGCAAGGCTGTCTACTATCACCAATGATCTTCCTGATTGCAATTGATTGGATAATGCGACAGACAACGGCAACCAACGAGGGAACAGGCATAAAATGGACTGACACAAAAGACTTGGAGGATCTGGATTTCGCCGATGATATATGTCTGATTTCCCATAAACTGGAAGATATGCAAGTGAAAAGTAACAAGTTGGCAGAAGAAGCATCAAAGATAGGACTTCACGTGAACATAGATAAAACAGAGATGATGAAGATTCCTAGCCAACATCAACAGCAACAACAACAGACAACAATAAGCATAAATGGGAAGAACCTGAAAGAAACAACCTCCTTCACCTACCTGGGAAGCATCGTCTCAACTACAGGCGGAACTGACGAGGACATCAAAGCCAGAATCGGAAAAGCAAGACAAGCTTTCATTACTCTCAAATCTGTGTGGAGGTCAACAGCACTCAGCATCAAAAATAAGATCCGGATTTTCAACTCCAATGTGAAGTCAGTGCTACTATACGGATCAGAGACTTGGCGAGTCATAAAGAGCATCTCAAACAAACTTCAAACCTTCATTAACAGCTGTCTTCGCTCAATACTCAAGATCAGATGGCCAGAAAAGATCAGCAACAGGGATCTCTGGGAGCGAACCAATCAGGAACCGATTGTGAAACAAATAGGCAGAAAGAAATGGAGATGGATTGGCCATACGCTGAGGAAACCATCAAGTGACATCACTAGACAAGCCATCGCTCGAGTGGAACCCGAAAGGGAGGCGGCGAGTTGGTCGTCCAAGGGTGACTTGGAGGAGGTCATGCGAGGAGGAGATGAAAGCATGTGGACAGACCTGGAGCAGGGTGAAAAAGTTGTCAGAAAACCGAAGGCAATGGAGGTGCGCAGCTGAAGCCCTATGTTCCTCTAGGAACTAAAGGATACAATAATAATAATAATAATAATATCTCTGTAAAAGATAATTTTCCGCGTCTGAACGCCTCCATGTGTGCGTATCACTTCACATACTCTTGTGGAGCAAGGTACATCATTGGTGAATTTGGTCTATATCAGTGTTTTGTTAATCACTGGTTGATTCATTTGAGTAACAGGCTTCTAGAAATTCCCTAACTGCATTTTTGGTGTTACGTCTATTTAAGATTTCCACATTATCGTAACTAAACTTGTGTCGGTAACTGTCTACAGGCACCGATATGAAATGTTCCTGGACTGGGAATCGAAGAGGACGCCTATTTTGACCAATGAACTGTGATAAACATTACATGCAGTACTAATTAGCGCTTAGTGCTAGGAAGCCGAAATATACAGTACAACATGTGCTACACTTGGTTTTCAGATGGTTTGGGAAGGCAATCAACTGGAATCCCTACCTTGAACACAGGTTTCGTGTCTGGTTGGCAATTAGTCACCATTTAGCAAGACCGATATCCGCAAACTGGAAGGAATTCATCTCTTTATTTAGATTCGAGCCCCTGTCACCCAAGTCCTGCTGACAGAGTTCAGTCTACAACAAAGAAGGGACTAGACACGCTATACCACTTAGTATGCAATCAAAGTATCTAATACAGGCCAATTACCAGCCCGAATGGCTTAGTGTGGTAATGTCTCTGACTGCAGCACGCCACTGGATGATACAGGAGTTCGAATCTCAGAATAGACGTGAATTCCTTCAAAATTGCAGATATACGCCTTAGCGACCGGTGACTGAATGCCAAAAGCACGAAACTCAAGTTCAATGCAGGGCTTCCTATCCCGATTGCCTCCAATCATCTAATATCAACAATGCATAATCCATCGGGAAGGTGAGCTACCCTGCCTGTTGGTGGCCACATTACAAACCTGACTGACAGCAAAATTCAATCTGCACGAAATAAAAGACTAGACGCATAATACGAGTCAGTATCCAGTCGGTTTTTCATTGACTTGGACTTAATTAACTTGCACATTTAACAAGTCCGCCAACATCTGCTCTAGAAAGTCTGATGCGAAAAGCAGATTTCAAGTGTCAGTTTGTTTAAATTTCAGAATTTAGTGGAAAACATGTCACCTACTTGGTATTTATTCATCGCAGTATGAATCACAAATTTTCCAACAAACCTACTGCTCACAAGTCCCATAAAGAAGAGTTGGTCTAGTAGATAACTAACGCTTTGATGTTTGAAACTACGGGTAGTGAGTTCGAGCCTCAGTAGGCGAACACCATCACTCCCTGGGGGATGCAGGTACATTCAGCTAGATGAAGAGTAGTCCCAAATAGGACGAAATCCCCATCCTGGATTTCTCCACTGCTAGCCACCAACCACCAAGTTAATTCAAATAACAAAAAGGGATTTTTAAACTTTAAAAAGACTGGCCTTAGTCAGTAGAGTAGTCCTGCCTACGTACCGATTTAAAGCTTCTATTTCAGCAATCAATTTATTTGATTCTTCAAAGATCGATGGATCAGGAGGAGTGGGTCGTAAACTTGGCGGGATTAGAGAGGGTGGAAGTACAGTTGGCAGTGAACGTGCTGATAAACCTCCAGATAACTGTTCTGTTGCCAAATGCATAGCAACTGTAAATTGTTCGCTGGAAAACCAAATAATAAAATAACAGTGGAATTTAGATTTTATTATTACGTTTATGTGATAAACATATCTGAAAAACGATATGTGAAAAATGTAAAATAGGCAATACACTTTTTAATCAGCCTCCCATAATATTGACTGATTATTTCTGAATATAGGAGTTATTAAAAAGACGGTTGCAGAGAAGAAAATTTTCTTTCCGACGAAGTAATCGGCTAGGCGGTACACTTTGTATTTACAGGAAATGGGTGAGAAAGTTTCGGAACTATTTTCGGTCAAGTGTCAACATGCATATACTAGTTCACTTGCACGTGTGGAACCCAGTATATTGACCGTGCCATGATTCCGCTTGTAAAACGAGCTCGGGAACACTATCCAGCCTGTCTGACTAGCAAAGGGAGAACGAAAGGGTGTATACAGTTCAGTGACAGAACGGAACATCTGGTGAATTCAAAACATTCAGCTCAACTTGATGAAAAATCCTTCTAAGTCATACAAAAGATCCCATCAAACCTCTATTGCAAAGGGAGTGAAATCAAGGTGCATCTGGTTGAGAATAACTGAGGCACTAGCGATCTAAAGGTTCAAGCCCATGACGCTATGTATTCAATAGAAACACATTCATTCAACCATTGTCCCTACCAGGATCATCGTAAAAAATCAGTCCTATCAATAATGATTGTCCTTTCTTACCCTTCTCAACCAATCTTTCAGTTTATTTCTGTTATTTTGACGGTTTTTTATCCAAACTTCCTGACTATTTTGTTATTACTACGTCTTTAATCACTGACTGAACAAAAAAAACAAGTTTTCCAGTAATTATGATCTTACCCTGTCCACTTCTTAACCCAACCTTCCTGTTTATTACACTTTGTAATTTTATTTCTTTGACCCTTGGACCGACCGCAAACAGAGTTCTAGGACTTTCTCATCCATTTACCACATAAATGAACAAATGTACAGCAGACTAGTAGATGGTGACTTCGTAAAAAAAGGCGGAGTTTCCTTATTCGCTGCAACCGCCCCTTCAATAACTCATTTGATCTAGTGGGTATATCCCATTGCTCTGAATATATACGCGGAGCTAGATATTGTTCTCAAAACGCTGCTTAATGCGACCATGCCCTTATAGCATCATCTTCCGCGTGATTTCTATTCACAGTAACTTTATGTAGAAAATGGTGTATTTTAATAAAACGTGGAAAAGAGAATGAAAATTTTCAACAGCCGATCACCGAACTACCAATGGACAGAAGGGGTTTATGTAGCTAAAACTGTCGGCACAACTTGACTTCGAATCCTAAGGTAGAAAATAGCGCACAAACGTGTTTCGGAGGTCACCTATAACCACCTATGAAAGTGTATCTTCTAATTTTGCTCTGCTGTCTTTGAAAATAAGACTCTTCAAGTCGAACATCTGAAAAGCAATCATTCGCTTTAACCTGAACAACGATGAACAATCGCCATCCCCAGACAGACATTAATGATGAAAACGAAACACGTAGTGCTCAGCGAAGAGGCTCCCTTTTTCGGAGGCGAATTCTCCCCATCTGTAAAATCTCATTTACATGTACAATCTCTTTTTTATGTAAGAGAATTGTAACAAAAGTGATGAATTTTTGTCATCATAATCATAGTTTTTGGTCAATATTAATTAATACCATAAGCGGATTTGAATAAGTGTACTAGAAATACGTAATAAGACGAATAATTTAATGAATGAGTTGTAATCAGGAGGCACATAGAAATGAAGGAATATATGAAATTATGTAAGACTTCTGAAGAAATACTAGAGTTGTAAAGTGCTAACATCAAGCAAACAAACAAAAATGAAGTTTAATCGAATCCATTGCCACTCATATCTGACACATCTGTAGTCCTGATGCCTTAGAAGTAGGACTTAGTTTCCTGAAAGAAATCTTCATCCAAAATGGACCCCCACCGAGATTCATTGACACAATTTATCAAACCAAAAGTTCAGCGCAACAAAACACTACTTGTTTCAAAATAGAAAAAATCTACATGAACCTAGATTTCAAGGGAGGAACCTGCGATATCCATAGTAGAGAAATTTTATCATCTGTGAGAATATTCTTCACAACAAATCTATGAGTAGCACAGAGGGCACATAAGTTCCTTCTCAAGGTTGCAGATATGCCTTGCTGACTGGTAAGTGTTAACCAGCACGAAACTAAGGTTAGGCAGGGCTTCCTGCCAATTTCCTGCAATCATGTAATATAAACAATTCACAGTACAACTTGATGACAAAGTAGTTGCATTACAAACTTCACTGACAGAATTCAGTCTGCCGCGAACAGCAAGGACTAGACACACATTACACTACTTACTAACTAGTGTATAACCAAGATAAAGAATAAAATATACAGCCTCATTCTTTACCTAAACTCCTCAACCACTAACAGATTACAAGGGAGCAACCCCATTTGCCCACCACTTTTGAAAATAAACGCATTCTAAAGCAAGTACATTAACAAATATGTATACAATTAACATTACTGATTTGTCATAAAGCGAAAAAGAGACTAAAATTAATTCAATGAATGAAGTCACCTGTTTAGGAGACCTGTATTCTGTATGTCAACCAGTTCCCATATTTGAGCTAAAATATCCTGAGGTAGTCCAGATCGCATTAGAATATCTCTCACTTCCGGCCCAGAAACTAATCCATCAGCATCCAAATCGATTGCAGCAAATACTCTTGAATTCTTGGCATGCTCTTCTGATGAAATAGCCCAGTCAGGAAAAATATACGACTGAAGGTATGGCTGATGATGATGATGACTAGACAGAGACCAAACACTAGGAATTGTGTGCGTTGATTGTGTGGTAAATGTATCCACACCGGTTGAAAAAGCCTAATTGTGAATGAAATAACCAAAATTACAACAATAACAAAAATTATCATTAGATGCTTCGACAGAACACAAGACCATGATAGCAGAAAAGGACTATTCTCCACCCACAAATAACAAGCCTTCTTCATATATACAAAGGCAATTCAAAAGTGACGTACCGAATGAAATAATTACTAACATGTCAAGAAAATCTTTTCATCAGAGAACTTTTAATGCTGGTAAACTACAAGTCATATTTTCTACACCACAACCGGTTGTCATTCCTCGACTGAAAGATGAAGTATATAGAATAGACTAGCCACCTCTTCTTCCTGCATCTACCAACTGAAGTGAACTTGTGGTGGAGCGAGTTAGATTGGCCGTTGCTCTTGGAACTTCATTTTTCATGCTCGCTGGGGAACACCTACCAGTATGGTGTGGCTAAATAAATAAGGGTGTAGTGAAAATCGTCATCGACAAACAGCTCGATATTAAACAACCACCTGGTCTAAAACAACTGGCCACGAAGCTAACCATCATTATCTGTCCGGTAGCAAATAAATAGCCAAAAGCATCTAGGTACCGAATACTCTACCAAACAGGAGAGGCTACTGCGATTCGCCTAAAACAACCAGTGCTGTGAGTGTGTATGCAGAAGGAACAGGTCCAGCCACCCACTATTACAGTCCTGGACTTTTCTGTGGAACGTATAAATTCATGAGTTCTGTTTTATTGTTATTTTTCCTAATTGGTCTATCTGATATTGAGTGTGTAGTGTAATGTGATGTTATGTTGATACACATCGTCACACTTACAGATGCTATTATTGATTGATTCGATGTAATTTGAACAACATTAATGTTGCTGTGAATAAGTTTAATTCTTTCAGCATTATTATGGATGGATATGTAACTCCAGAACGTGATGAAGAGGTCATCGAAAAGACTATTTTTTGTTCAGTAGTCAGTCTTTTGAAATTTCTAATAGGCAACCTAAATCACTTTTAAATGTATTTTTCTTGAAAAAAGTATCATATACTTGAGGCAACTCTACCACATTTCCATTCCATTTGAATGTTTGAAATATTCCGATATCACAAAATAAAGAATATTTTTCAGGTTAATTGCAGTTATAAAATGAAATAATTATCATTAATATACAAATAGCCCGGTGTGTATCGCGAATACAGTTATAATGTAAAATTACGAGTTTAAATTCGTATCAGTCAATAAATTTTAAGGTTCTAACGCAAAGGATGCACTGAATGCAAAACTCCGCCCCACAGAACAAGTTGGATTCAGAAAAAAGCAAATGATGTTCTGATCAGACCGCAACTCTACGCATCATTGTCGAACAACAGCATAGAATGACAGTCAAATGTCTACCTCAGTTGAAAAGACCTTCGACAGAGTTAACGACAGCGAAGAAATTTGGAAATCACTTCAACACTACGGAGTGCAATACCCTAAAATCTTTATCAACCTTATTCAACCAGAACAACAATACGACAGTGATATGTGTCAGGTGATCCACAACAGAAAACTCAGTGAGGCGTCTGAAGTGAATACAGGAGAAAGACAAGGCTGTCTGTTATCACCAGCGATGATAATCTTTATTCTAGTAGACTGCATTATGCACAAGACAGTGTGGGGAGAGAAATGACAGGAATACGCCGGACCTATAAGAAGACACTAGAACATAGGGATTTTACGCGTCGATCATTTATGTCGTTGCATATCACACAAACTCAAAGACTTACAGGTAGGCGAAAAACAACAACCTGACAGGAACGGCTGGCAGTGAAGACAGGAGACTCCAGGTGATGAACATAGAGAATATGGAGATGATTAGGATAACCAACCAACCAATCAACAACAACAACAACGACAACCAGCACCTATAACTCACCAGGAACGGCAGAAATTCGATGAAAGAGGTTTCGTCCTGCCTTCACTTATCTACCTATGCAGCAGCATCGTTCAACCACTTGGTGTGTGCGCCATCAAAGGTAATTCCAATAGGCTACTGCAGAATTTTATCAATAGTTGTCCACTTCGCTGACTACATAGTGAATATCAAATGGTCGACTGGTCAGAAAGTATTTAGCAATGAGAAACTCTGGGAACAAACTAACCAACAACCTGTCGCTCAACAAATATGTACGGGCAAATGGAGATGGATTGGGCGCACACTGTGAAAACCTTCCAGTGACATCGAGCGCTAGCCAGGGCATCTCTCAAGTAGAACCCCAATGGGGAACGACGAGTGGGTCGTCAGAGTGAGGGTTACACATAGAGGAGGAAATGCGAGGAGGGGATTGCCAGCAATTGTGGGACGAGCCAGCTAAAGATAACAGTAGAAAATAGAACAAAGTGGAGATGTTTGTTGAAGCTGTGTGTTCTATTCGGGACACAAGGTAACATTAATAATAACAACATCCCTCTTTCAACAGTCAAATGGAATATTTGTGACGACTAGTTAGTTAGTCAGTTATGAAACCCAAGCTACCTTTCACCGCCTAAGATTTTCAAATACAAGGCGCTACAGGGGACCCCACAATCATTGTTGTTTACCAATAGATATTAGTAGAAAGAAAAAGTAAATATAAAAAAACTCTGGTATTATGGTAGCAAAATATCTGGGCTGTAATTCACAATAAGTGTTGCATCTGAATGTTACATACAAGCAACAACCAGCTGGATAATTTTAAGTTCACAAATTGAGGAAGCCTCCAGGTATTAATTGACTACTACTATGTCTGTAAACAGAGTGGACCTCTTTTATTTTTGAAAGATTTTGTTATAAATACGATCAGTGGACAAGTCATTGTAAACCCTGTCTGTCTGGTCGCGGGAAGAAGTGGTTTGAGATGGTTAGCACATGTGTTACGCATGCCTATCTGGCCATCGCCATCGATCGCCCTTCTCGACCAACGGGCACTGTTAGCTCAGCTGAAATAAAATGAATCAGAATGGAAAACAGCTAGCTAGCTAACCAAAACATGGCTGGCTTCATCAGTCAGGCAAATCCATCACAACAGTTAGTTTAAGCTAGCCAACCAGCCAGCCACGTAGGGAGATGTACACTGGCTTCCTGACTGGCTGGTTGGAGTCCTCAGGATCAAGGTAGGAAACAATGGTGGCTCAGAATCGTTGTTCTCGATGATGGCGCAGATGCATTTGTCACATAATCCATTTTTTCCTCACATTTCTGTTTATTGTCTCTCCTTACTCTATTCTCTTGATTTCTTGGCTAAATAGGGAGAGTGGCAACTCGAATTGGTGCTGCACATCTGTGCAAAGTTCTACGTTGAAACCAGTCAGTCAGTCAAATGAGATCAGTCGCATTGCTTGTGTCAGACAAAACATGAAGTACAATCACTAACAAACAACTACACTTTAAAAGAATATCAGGTGATACAATTTAGTGACCATTGGAGGAATTAAATTGAGCATCACAAAGAGTTAATTATCACGGTGAAAAATATAAAATAATGACAACACAGATGTAAAGGAAATGTAGAAAAAGGCAGGAAAAAATTAACGATGGCATTATACAATTACCATGAAAAACAGCACAACCTCCATAATTATCTTAACTAATTTAAAACACAAAACTGGTGCAGTACAAGCACCAAGAAGATACGCCACACAATAATACTAAAACCACAACTTAGGAGAAAACAACAGGTGGAAAATGAATGAGGACTTCGTTCGGAAAGGAAGTAACTATATTTAGCAAAACCAAACAACATCCATCGAATTATTGTCAGAAAAGGAAGTGAGAATGAAATTGCACCACCTTTGCCATTGATGATTACGACTCTCCTCCATATCCGATAATGTTCCAAACGAGTCAACAATTCCGGTTATCTTCCCAACTCCAAACACGGAGTCATGATGTACCACCAACCGATGCTGACCTAACACAAATATCTTTTATCCCAGGATGTCCCACTTCATAGGCTGGCTGACCACCTCTCCGCTTTTCCTACCTCGTCCCACGGCTGGCTAGCTAACAGACACCAGTACGGAAGCCTCAGATGACATTTGTAGCACAAGACCATCAAGCCACCGAAACAGGTGTTTCCAAATGACGACGACAACCAACAAATGGTGATCTCCATGGTGTCCAAACACACTCCAGTACAATTCACAATTATTCACACGATGATGACGTCATCGAACGCAACCAATTCTACTAGCGAGACAGAGATGGTCGAATACGCGGAGTCGCCAGACATCTTTAGCAAACCCGGAAAGGCCAGGTTTCATAGGCGTACAGCAAGACTGCCCCCGCCAAAGTATCGTAAACCCGACCTCTGACAGCCGGTCAGGCAAACATCGCTAACGGCACCAGAGGTGGTTCAAATTAGTGTATGCCGACCTAGCTTTCGTGACACGGTTGAAAATCTCGTCCACCAGATACACGAAATAATAAATAATTTCAAGCGGTTCACTTGCTAGAGTTAGTGAACGCAGGTATAGGATCCTGCCAATATTGAAACAGAATTTCGCACTTGGACGGCACCCCTGCGCTACCGAAACTTCAAAACTCTAGCTTGAAGTCACATGTTTCACTTGGAACGCAAAGGAATAAATAAATAAATAATAGTAAATCTGAATCAAGGGAAAATTAAATATGTATTTTGCCACTCACCACCAATGCAAGTGCGGATGAATCTCTAACATTTCCCATCTTCGGGCTTAATAATTCAGATGTTGCAGTGGTAGATTGAATAGGAACTAGAGCCAAACTAAAATCCGATTCACTGGTGGTCATAGCTGGTGAACACAGCGCAGGATGATTGGAGGCAGTAGTAGTAGTAGTCGTGTTCGAGAAGTAACCTTCTTTATCCGGCGGAATTAAACTCTGAGGAAGTTTGTCTGGTAAGCTTTCTCCATTAAGTGAACGATGAACAAGATGCATAGCCTATGGAAGTTAGAATTTATTGTTAATGTTAGGAAAAAGAACAACAACTTATACAACACACGGGGCGATTAAGAGACAAATCGCATAAATTCGACCTTTAAAAGGATTGGGACAAACGAAAAAAAGGAAATATCCTGCAAGAGTCTATACCAAAAATAATAAATGATTAATGAAGCCAGGAAACCCATACACGTTAGCAGGATAAGCACTCACAGACACACATGCATTTTGAAAACTTCCAAACTCCCATTGACGCAGTTAGAAAAAACAACAATTCTACTTAATCCTTGCATTCTTCTGAATCATTACCGCTATTTTACAAATTTCTTGATTATATAACAACTTGTTGCGCTAAGCTTCACGAATTAACTTGTCTTGAATTCCGTACTTCATTAATTTTCACCGCTCCTTCAAAACCCAGATATCTTGTTACTAACATCTGTTGGCTAATTGTTTTGATGACTTTTCACCTCTTAATTTCACACACCTCCGGCGTATGCCTGAAATTGATGGACTTAGACAACCAATTGATTGTTAAAATTTCGGTGTAAACAACAGAAACTATATATTAGTGTAGAGCCCATGAGGAGGAACTAATCGAAGTCGTACAATTTGTTATTTTGCTAACTACCTAAATTGACCTTAACTTCTATAATTAATTTTTTTTAAACTTGACTTCAAAGTCAGTCTTAAGCCTGTGTCTGTGGTATCCACAGCGGTGTTTCTGTCTGGTATATGCGAAAGTGGGTAGGTGGGTAAACTTCAGCCTCCAACTATCGAAATACTATCACATACGGCTATACGGCTGTAGCCTCTGCCAGGTAAGTCCTATTATTCACTGCCTCAACACAAATGTGGCAGGAGCGTTACACACACAGAGAGAGGTGAAAGGATGAGTGCAAGCATCGTCATGACCTCTTATAGTACTGTTTACTCTGGAGAGTATTTAAAACATTTACAACCTGCACAGTAGCAAGAAGAAGCATTTACGCCGAAGACAGCTTATCCCAATACACGAGATGACCGTTCCTCAATGGTGTCTCTCACGCACCGAAATGTACTTCTGAACCGTTTACAAACGGCATTCAACAAAATGTCAACGTGTACCTCTTGAAGGATGCAAAGAACAGATATCATACTGATGGATTTGTTTGCGCTTCAGGCGAGACAGAAGTGTGTCACACGATCTACTGTCAGTCAATTAGTCTTTTTTTATTTGAAGATGCTGGACCAAGCGGAAAATATCACACTATAAACTCCGCTGAAAAATGTGTACATTATATAAACATTGTTCAGAATAAAGCCATTATATACTTATATATTTTTACTGGCATGTGGATCAGACTTCAAGTCAAAGGCTCACAGGGGATCATCGGTTTAGTTAACACACCCAACTACTTCGGCCTGGGAGTCAAGACAGTATCTCAGATCATATACAAAAGCCGTATGAAATGTTGTACGGCGTATCTCACGGTGGCCATCATATACACCAAATTTGTGTTCTAATAAAACAATACACTGTAGAAATTCCTGAATCGTTTATTAGAAAAGCGTATTGAAAACGAAACAATAAACACAGAAAGTCTGGCTGAACTCTTAACTTAAGAGAATATTAGATTCTCTACGATTTTGATTTAGAAGATGGTTAGTGTGCAATGTGTGTAGTTCTGAGCGTAGCGAATTTTCGATTGACACTTCAAAATAACACATCATTATTCAAACGACTGGTGAAGTCTCACAGCTTGTTATACACATATATATATATATATATATATATACTAATGATCATGTTTCGAGTACAATTTTTATTACTGCTACTCAGAATCATATGAACGCACTACTCACACAACTTTCTCACTTCGTTTATTTCCATTTCCACCACTTCTCTCTCATCTATTGATTTCATGATAGGTAGTAGTAGTAGTAGGAGTAGTAGCAGCAGCACTTTCCATATCCCTGGTATTTACTAAAGTGATGAATCAGAAAATGAACAAGGAGAAGTAGCCATGATGTTACATTGTAAAATATAAAAACGAACAGAAGAAGGTAAGCTATATACACTAGTGCTTATGAAAAGTCAACACACTAGTAGATATTTAGACTTTAACTCATATCTCATCTCTTATTCTCAAAGGCAGACTTAGTTATAAGTGTCCAACAAACCAAGCAATAACAACACCAAGTAGGACATCAACAAACACCGAAATGATGTCATGAAACAGAAGAACAAGAACAACAAGAAGGAGCGTTGGTGTTATATTATACAACTATCCTATAAAATTCATTACGAAGATAAAAACACGTCAACAGCAACATAAAAAATTACGGTGAAACGAATAGTGACAACATGTAAAAGAAAAACTATAAGGCATCTACAGTCGTTTTACCATACAAGGAGGAGACATCTAAGACGCGAGGTGTAGGACTCCTTTTGAAGCAGGTATCAGGGTGGTGGCATCTAAACGTACAAATTCACTCACTCACTCACTCAGGTTGGACAATCTCTGCGGATAAGTTAAAGGACCTGTAGGTTGACACAATCACACAAAATAATATCAATATACAAATACCTTGCTGCATTGACTGACTGTGGGTTAAGTCGACTAACTGCATAGGTCAGTCAGTCAAACCAGTAGATCCTGGGTGGAAGTCAGATTGTCAGAACATAAGAATTTAATAGCTACGGTTAGAATGATTCATCCCGAGAAGATAAGTAATTTAGAAAGAAGAAAACTCAGAAATTGCACTACATGCATTAACACACAATTAACCACAAAATACCGCAGTAGTGGTAGTATACGTAGATGGAGAGGGAGAGAGAGGTTGACCACTGACTGAATCTTTTTTCATCGAATAACCTACAGCCAACACAAGACATACAATAAGAATCACTCATCGACACTAGTACCAGTGATTTTAGAAAATACTAAAAATACTACCAATCAAATGAAGAGATGAGAAATAATGGAATTATACATAAACGAAGTGAGACAGTTGTGTGGGTAGTGCCTCAGCAGCAGTAATAAAAGTTTTGCTCGAAACTTCGTCATCAGTAAACAGTTACTGTGCAACACGCTGTAGAACTTCATCAAAATAAAGAATTTCTCCATTATGGAATTATACTCTACACCACGGTGACCAAGTTGTTCTGTTCTTATATCAATTGCAGAACGCTCACTAAAAGTAAGCAGATTACAGCAACACGTAAATAAAATGAAAAGTAACAGAACCCAGTGTGTCAGTTGCATTAAAGACGACATGAATAAGAGGCATAGTATATATATATATATATATATATATATATATATATATATATATATATATATATATATATATATATATATATATATATATATATAATTGCAATTCGATAAGGAATAGTTAAACATAGCAAACATTAATGACAATTTCCTGAATTTTAATGTACGAAGAAATAACGACTGTACGGTCGAAAAATTAGTCTACAGAGAAGAAACCTGGACCGGAGAACATCTTTACTACAACAGCTTCTCTCCTAGAACCTATAAGTGTGCATTTTCACTTGACATGTAAATCAACACGCTCACACGGTTTATTAGATTTCTCTGGTTTCTATCTTTCCCTCCAACCCCCCCCCTTCTTTCCATTTTCAAAGCAAATCAGTTGATGGTAACTTAATGCTTACACATCGGATGCGTTGACTTTATAATGTTTTCTCTAATACCACTATTCAAACATTGAAGCATGCCATTGTCATCCTTTTTTTTATAACCATTTTAAATTCAGTTAGTGATGTGCAGCTGATAAAGAGAACCTGTGAAACAGAATGATGATATCATTTATATACTGCACATCTCGTCCTTCTTTTTTTCTTTACCGAAGCTATTTTTGTCTTCACAAATACACCTCTGATGAGAAACATTTCTTAACAAACCACCATAGAAAGAAATAATAACTGACGTACAATATGAACAAAGCTTTAAATTAGCAAGTAATGAAAGTAAATCTACGCCAAACAATAACAGAACTTACAATAATAAATTCACTCTGATCTAGACAACCATCGTTGTCGATATCCGAAAGATCCCATATTTTTCCAAGAGTTTCAACTGGCAGTTGAGATTTTAAAAACACCTGGAGGAAAAAATGACCAAGAATAAAAACTTAAGTTTCATCTGTTCAAAAACCATAAGTCTGAATCCATTTAACCATAATATATATATATATATATATATATATATATATATATATATATATCGCACTAGGTATCAGTTCCAATTTAATGTTAACCAACTAAATTCGTCTAAATATTGGAACATTCAACTAATTTCACAACGGTAATAATAAACTTATTCCATCTAAGAGGGGGGTTAGACAAGTTACTGCAAAATTGTATCTTAGTTGTTAAGCTACTAATCCGTTTAATAACTAACTGACTTTCCATAAACACACACACACACATAGTTGATTTATAATTATGCAGTCACAATGTGTTGAGACAAAAATCACGTGAAAGGAATTTGTAAATTGTAAATATTCATGAATAATCGCCATCCCTAGACATTAACGATGAAAACAAAACATGTAGTTTAGTGATGCGTCCGTCTCTTTTCGGCGAATTCATTATCTTAGTTGTATAATCGCGATCATATATATATATATATATGAGGTTCGTCAGACAATAATAAAAATTAATTAGGGTTATTGTTTATACCAAAATATTTCGAAAAATGTGGTGAATAATCAAAATCCCCTAACTGGAGGGGGCAGGGGGGAGGAAGATTAGCAAGTTTAGATTGTGTTTATAAAATGTGAAAGACGTCCGGAAAAAATAGGACGTTAGTGAAAGAGCATGAAGTGTCCAAAATAAATTATTTAGTAAGTAGAAAGAATAAATAAAGAGTTAGATAAGAAAAAGATTTTACTAAAATGTCACACAATAGTAATGATAACAAGATATTTGAACTTTGAATTATACTCATGGTAGAAGGAGGGAATGGAAAAAATCCTAATTTACGCGTACACAGAAGAAACTTCTCCATCCTTTTATCCTACCATGACTATAATTCTAAGTTGAATTGTTATCAAGAGTTTGTTATTGATACGATTTTGTGCATTTTTCTCAAGATATTTATTATTAACATTTTCTTAACGAAAATGCTGCTAACTCTCTTCACCTGTTGCACAATTCGATTTGACACTTGCCTCCATGCTCTTTCATCATTAACATCTAATTATTTCTGAACGTTTGTCATATTACGTAACTTTACTCTATCTAGGCTTATTAATCTTCATTCCCCCTTGTTACAATTTGATTATTCAGAACAAAATATTTAGAGCAAACAAGTGTTTTCAATAAATTCTTCTTCAGGCTCTACAATTATAAATCCATTAATTTAAGCATACAATAGCCAGTAAAGGCAAACTAGAATCATATCAGAAAGTATATTGTGGAACAGGTATAAGATGGGATAAAACAATAGTCAGACAGTTTTTTAATATACATGGTCAATGAGAACATGGGACAAGATGAGATGAAGTAATTTAATTTAATGATATGTATATATATGTATATGTCAGCACCTATAGACAGGGTAAGGGTGGATACCGTAGACAAGAAACCTTAGTATCTTAAGTTACAAAGGGGAAATCGCAGCTGACATTCTAAAATGAGCAATAGATAGGACATTTCCTGCAGCGAAACTGGTACTAAACTTCTCAACTAAACCAGTACTCACACAGCAAGTCAAGGATAAATTACCAAAGATGGCCTTATCAATGTGCATCTATGAATTCAACTGCTCATGTGGAGCTAGTTACATTGGCCGTACTCAGAGGGTTTTATCCATAAGCAAGCGTGAACATGTACCTGTATGGTTGAGTAAAGGAGTACCCGAATGCGTAAGTAACGCAGTCTTAACCCACTTGGTAGATACTGGACACCCGATAAAACTTGACCAGGCGTTCTCAGTTATTTACCGGTTCCGAGTAATTTATCTAGAGGAGCTCGACTACGTCTTCTATTAGTAGCTGAAGCAGTTGTGATTAATACCATAAGACCATTTCTTTGCATACAGAAAAAGTACGTTCAACCTGTATGTTTACCTTGGCCTACAATCAAGCCAATAAATCCTCCATTAACACTGTAAATTCCTTTCACAATTTTCTTTTCTTTTCTTCTTCTTCTATTCCTCTATTTCATTGAAAAACGTTAATTTTCGACTTTTATGATTTCGTGACCTTTTTTATCATTTTATCACCTTAGGTTTAAGTCATGCTTTTCTAACTTGCTATCGTATTTACAAAATCCTGTTCACTCCATTTCATTATATTCATTATTATTATTTGACAATCATTCATCAATAGTCCTTGTAATTTTAAACCATATCATCGTTATTATTTTACAATCATTCTTATTGTTGTTATTTTCAACCTTGAACTTATGTCTAGGCCGCCCTTTTCGTTGGTTTATTTTCATATTGTTTCACACACCCTGATTACACTCACTCTCGAAACCTGTATTTTCTGTTAACTATATATATATATATATATATATATATACATTAAATTATTTCATCTCATTCTGTCCCATGTTGTTATTGACCATGTATATTAAAAAACTGTCTGACTATTGTTTTATCCCATCTTATACCTGTTCCACAATATACTTTCTGATATGATTCTAGTTTGCCTTTACTGGCTATTGTATGCTTAAATTAATGGATTTATAATTGTAGAGCCTGAAGAAAAATTTTATTGAAAACACTTGTTTGCTCTAAATATTTTGTTCTGAATAAATTATAGGAATATTCAATTTAATTTTTCACCACATTTTTCGAAATATTTTAATGTACACAATAACTCCAACTAACCTTTATTCTTGTCTGATACACCTGATGTACACACATACAAAAATACTTATATATAATTGCGATTGGACAGCTCGGAATGAATTCGCCGAAAAGAGACACATCGCTGAAGTAGATGTTTCGATCTCATTAATTATAAATATAACCACGATTTAATGGAAATTAGTTACGAGCAAGATAAAGGAATTGTACTACTTTTCTTTAACATGACAGTTCTGTAAAATTTATAAATTAATTGGCAGTCAGTTGAGAAACCAGTGTGCATGGATGGCATGGCGTTATGACGCTTACCAGGCATGCCTAAAGTGGTCCACCGTTCGACTCCTAGTTGACGTACTCCTAGCTAAGCCGGTAATAAGGCTGGTGGAGAGGGAAGGTTAAGTGTGAGACTAGCAACCCTATCTTGTGAAAAATAAAATCGCAGCTACCAAAACTGCATAGCTCTAGTTTGAAGCCTCATGATTCACTCGGAATGAAAAATAACTAGTGCTACCTACATAAAATGGCACAGGCTTTATCATTATAATGTTAAATAAAACGTACAATAATAATAATAATATACAGCTGCATGAGAAAAGAAAGAACATTCACTTGCTTAGATAAAAAATATCAAAAGTTGATTTGAAATTCCACTTGAATTAAAGTTTGTAAAGTGCATTTAAAATACCTATTCATCAGATAGTTTAAAATTCTGTGAACAGGATAGCAACAGCAACAACATAACCAACTTGAGTGGACAGAAGGGATAAAAATCAGCCCCCAAAAAACATAACTTGTAGTGACCAATTGCATGTACCTGTAGAACTTGGGCACTGTGTTAGAATGTAGTTCTACATATATGCCAGTTAAACGCCCAGGACTGGGTTTGTGTGAGGGAAAGCTTATTTAACAAGAGCCATATGCGTACCAAGTCAAATCGCGATGTGCCATCCAGCCATTTCAACGCGATATTCTAAGTGAAAAGTTTTGTTGAGACTGTGGAACTTACAAAAATAAAACCAGAATCTAATTACCCACTGCAAAAGCGACACAGGTCAATACACAAATACATTAAAGACTTTAATTCATCCCATCTAGAATCAGTAAAGGAAGATGGGTTTCATTCAATGTCTACATAATCAGGTCAGAAGCCTAATCAACAAGTAAGCAAAAACATTTAAATGGTGAAGTCAAAAAAAGGGAAGATTGCTAGTGAACAACTAACTAACCGCCAGAATTTATTCACAAATATATCAAGAACCATAGGAAAGATAAAATTAAATAGTTAATATGACGAAAATAACGAAAGAAATAACATAGAATTTAAAGCCTATGTAGTACTACCGTACATAGACGAAAGGTCGTCAGAGGCCTTAAGCAGGATTCTTAATGAGGCTTGAATTTCTCAGGGTGGAGTTTAAACCAGCCAACCAACCAACTCTCTCAGAGATAAACTTTGTCAGCTTAAGGACCCAATAGATCCAATTCAGAAAATATGCAATACTAAATACTTACTATGAACTTACCATGTTATTGAGGTTAATTACATATATCAAACTACTAGGTCGGGGTCAGTGGCATAATTGGAAGATAAAAATCTAGCTACACCTAGAATTACTGACCCTGCTTATTTAAGCAATCTTGAAAAAGGCTTGGCCACTGGTACGCATTCACTTGCATGTAATCACAAAATAGGGTGGGGAGTAGAGGGCGAAAGTATAATAAAGTAATATAGTTAGGTGGTGAGACAGAGGTTGATCACTAAATCTTTGTTTATCAAATCAACACCACTCATGTGCGATCGAAATGACACAACGCCTACACTGGAGATATAGATAGTGGTAACAAACAACAAGAGCAATACTGAAGCCATGTTACTAAAGTTATATGACTACGAACAAGAATAATTCATGCTCAAAACCTTGTCATCCAGTTGTTAATACTGCATCAGCGTGACATTTACAATAAACGTGTCTAATATTGCATTTTCTGCTGTTTATTCAAGATATTTTAACACTGAAAAAAGGCACCTCCACATGTATTTTATGTTGTATTTATAATTGAGGTAAAGTTAATTCCCTGTAGAGTCGTACTTCTGGAGTATTAAAAATTAATTGGGCAGTTTGCTTGAGTTAACTCTCAACATTTTAATTTTTTAAACAAGTATTTGTAATAATAATTTGCGTTTCACTAGTATGAATTCATAGTGTGTATACATTTCTTAGTAGTATAGTTTTCAAAATACAAAAGTGTATACTAGATAATACAAAGAGTCGAGATATCCGACAACTTGGATTGCTGAAAATTACAGTGAAATCCCAAAAAACTTAACGAGCTTTTTAGGAATGTGAGGTAACGTCAAAGTTAAATTATAACAATTCATGTAATGCGAGCTCACGGGTGAACTTAAGCCAACCAAGCAGGAAATACAGTGGGTTTTGCACAAAAATGTTTATTTAAAAGAGAAATAAATGAAAATAAACTAAAGAGGAAATTTTTCCCTGACATGACCTAAAAATACCTCTAAATTATAATCAGGAGTATCAGTTTTTAAACTGGACCAGTTTTTGTACATTTATTCACGCAGGTAACTGAAGATGAGTTTTTACTATGACCCACTTATCGCTCTTTTCCTGTTTTACAGTCTTCCCCAAAAGACCTCGATTTAATTAGCATGGGTTCCAGTAAGAGGACTGACGACTATTTACTGGGAAAATGATAATAAAACTAAAATAAATAATACCAACCATAAACCGAATCCTAATCGAAACCGTAATTATAACTCTGATTTTAAACCTAACCTTGATCCCAATGCCAGTCGTGACCGAAACCTTCACGAACTATTAACACATTGTCCAAAGAGTTATCAAAAACGAGATCTGGATGAAATTGGCACCTCGATTAGTGCATTGCGACACACTATAGTAATAGTATGTTTTGTTTTCCAAAGAATAGCATACATTCAAGGTCATTGGAGCGTTCGCACTACTAGGCTGATGTACTTTAACCTGGCCAAGGGGACAAACGACTGCAAACAAATGAGACATATCTTAGGTAATTGCAACGAAGTGACTGAGCATTTCCATGAACAAAATTTAAGTCATCGACTTCTGATACACAGAACGGTTGGTTCAGTGGATAAGCCAAAAACAACAGACTATAAATGTAGCATAAATATTTCACACGTATCAGCAACATTTTACCAAACAGTATGTTGCGAATTAATGCTTCCAAATGGTAATGATGACGCAATCATAGTACGGCGAAATCCATATATTTTTCAACGACAATTCTGATATCTCATCTACAAAAGAATGAATTGTCTCCACAAAAAAGCACCGATAAACACATTTTAAAAATAATAAGCTATTGACGAAACTATCACGTAGCCATTAATATTAATCTCTATTATAAGCCCAATAAACCATTGATTGAAGATTGTATATTTAGAAAAATATACACTATCGCACAGCTCACACTTTATTTCTACCACTGTTCATACAACAAGGACATAACTATTTAATATCTGTTTTAACTAAAAACGATGGTTCATACCGCTTAAAACAATATATACATATATATACTGCGAAAAATAAACATTAAACCTATGCAAACCTCTCTAATTTTTTCACCAGATAATTTCCCGTAGGTTGGTTGCAGCTGGTCGAAAATAACTCTGTATCTATAAGCATCAGGAACGGAGATATCATATGTCATTTTGGGATTTCAGAGATACAACCTAAAAACAAGATATGCAAATAAAGACGTATTAAATCAAATTTACGAAAAACCAAAAGAGGTCAGTCACTTTCGTAGTTTTCAACAAAATTATCAATGCAGGGAACCTCTTTTATTCCACGACATATATTTTCCTGTGAATTACTTGGTAAAAATATAAACAGTTGTTAAAATATTGCAGTGCTTCCTGCAATTAGATAAGTATCAGTACCATATTCAGAATTTAAAACATTATAAAGAGATGCCCGAGCTAAATTATGGGATATAACTATATTTCTATCATACAGAAAAAGCGATACGTTACACAGACCTTATAATCACTACAGAAACTGAATTAACATTATCACTGCAACAGCATACAATATGCTAAGACTTAGTTCAGACACGGAGCAACAGGACACTGTTTCTTCTACCTAGGCGGCTTATAAACCTATGACAGCTACGGATGCTTTAAATGTAATCCAAAGCTGATCTGTGAAAAATAAGCACGTGGAAAGACAGCTGTGAGATTGGGAAAAGCTAATTTAATCGGACTTGCGAGTTGGAAAATTAGGTGATTCTAAGCAAAAGTAGCTCAAAAGAAACTACTTTCGGTTACCAATCAGATGCTTCAGAAGAAGGATTGCGTAACTGAAAATAAACGTCTACACAGAAGTAATGCCATGTTAGAAAATAGTTACATAAGATAATATTCCTGCAAATGTTCCGAAATAAATCCCAGATTCTCAGATAATAAATTACAGTCAGGTTAAACCAATTTTTGTAAGTAAATATTTCAAGGTCATCGATTCCTTCATCAGGTAGTTTCGTTTTGGACTGTTACAGTTTAGTCACAAAACATTGATATAGGCCGACAACTAAACAAGCCAGCTTGTGTGTCGAGATATCGATTACTGCTACAAAAGCCTTGTCATTGAAAAGCCGAAAACACAGAACCATCTGGAACCCAGGAAAAGAGACCGTTCTACAACAAACACATCGGATAAACAGTTTTAGCCGTAGCCCAAAGCGTCGAAAACGCCGCTACTTTTCATCCAATATTTAGATTTCATATTTATTAGTTCAAAACATAAGGCTTGCAGCCTATATTAATCCTTTTCTAGCAAATTTCTGTGCTTGCACAAACTCTTCTTGAATGAATCACTTCTTCTGGGGGTTAGTTCCAAGAGTTTATGACCCAGTGTGAGAACCAGTACTCAACGTCCAATATCCAATATATCCAATATCGTTTTTACGAGCTAGTATAAACCAATTTGATTTCTTTGTGCTCGCTTCTTGATTGTGAGCTATAGGTTCTTGATCTTCGGTAAACTTCTGCGTAGCTTGTCCCGCCACTCGACTGTCGTAGCTTTGGTTGACTCCAAAGGGAGTAGTGCTGGGATTAATTATATGTGATTTGTAGTATGAGGTATGTTAAAACTGTTACTACTGTGATTGGAGTTGATCCTTTCGCCAGTTAGTCCTTCGGTGTCGTCGACAAGAGGAAAGAGATAGTAATAATAATAATAATAGTAATAATAATAATAGATATAATTAGTGAAGCTATTCAGACTGAGACAGAAACGAAAATAGGAAACGTAACAACAGTCAGCTCATTAAGTTTGAAGAATAATATATATCGGTAATAGTAATAATAATAATAATAGTAATTATAATATTAATAAGTTGTCAGGAGAGTAAGACGGGAGAGAATGTAAAGAAGTAAAATGACGAGTTTAATTATCTACCCTGGTTGGTAAATGCGATCTTAAGGAGATAGGCCATTTGGGTGCAGTCCTTGTATCGCTGCATGGTTGTCCAGCCTTCGCTTGAAGGCGTCCAAAGACGGTGCCATAGCTACATCTGCCGGCAAAGAATTCCAGGGACGACAAACCCGCAGTGAAAAGAAGCGGGAGCGCACCCGGGTCCTTGCCCTCTGGTGAGCTATCCTTCTGGGATTTCCACGTGGAAGCCTATACCTACTCAATGGCAGAACACCTTTGTTTGGGTGATATTGTTTCTTCTTGGCTTTCGAACTCTCCTGCTATGTTCCGACCTAGTTGGAAGAAAAGAGAGAATAGGTCAAGTTCGTAGTCACTACTTGAAATTTTAAGCATTGTGGTTAAATCTCCTCTCTCCCTACTGTATGACGGGTAGAAGAGATATAAACATTCCAATCTTTCCTCGTATGACAAGTTAGCCATGCCGTGAACCATACGTGTTGCCTTCCTTTGAACCCCTTCTAAAATATGTTAGTCCTCTTTGAGACGAGGACTGGCTGGCTGCCTGGATACAGTTTTTCCAGTCTTAACCTCACTAGAGATGCATGTAAGGAGTTAAACATCTGTCAGGTGATTCTAGTTAAGGCTCTGCGAATTTCCCATAAGGATGTGAAACTGCGTGCAGCCATGGCGCGACGGTGTACTGTAGCTTTTAAGTCGTGACTATGACACATCGTAAGACACATCATAAGCCCAACTGCTTTCCCCGCACTCTTTTCCGATAGAAAGGGAAGATTTCGCCAGGAGCTAACATCAGTTAGACAAGCACTGGGAGTACTGGACGACTGTTTCGTCCTAGTTTGAGACTCTTCAGTAGAACGCACCCACCGGGGTTCAAACCCAGGACCTTCTGGTTACAATGCGAGCTCGTAGACCATTAAGCCACTGGGACCCGATCCAATGGTCCTTGAATTCTAACTTCTGTCAATTCACGACATAGCGCAACCATTTCGCGATGTCTTCTTCGATGAGTTACTGCCTTATCTTCAACCTGCTGATGTCAGCTCACGGTAAAATCCTCCATGCAATCAAACAAAAATCCCTAGAAAACCAATATCTTAAATAGGAAGACGTGAAACTGTGGGATCCGAAAAATCGACCTAGAAGCTTTCTAATTGACTGTAGAACAATTGGTCAGACCATTCATCATGAATAGGTGCATGCATCGAATTCATAACTTCCTGTTCGCCGGGCTTTACCACATTTTCCAAATATTTGAGCATATATTACGCTTAACTAAAGGGCTTTATTAGTGCACTTAATCAGGAATAAGGCCATCTATATTTGAGTGAATACAGCTTATTATCACTCTGTAATTTCAATTAGAATCAGGACAGTTTTGAAGCCCCTAGACAAATAAACAGCTTTTAAGTGGAGTTACGAAAAGATACATATTTGCTCGCTTGGGTTATCTTACTTACGCGTCATGGGAATTTTCTATACACTGCATTGACGAAGCTACTAGTCCTTACGTCTTTTAACTATGATTGACTGCTACAGGTTATTTAGAGTTTACGCTAAGTTGGCTGGTATGATCTAGCTCCGACACTGTTCTGTGAATTCTCACAGTGATTTCAAAGTGATAAAAGTCTTACTTTCCTGGTCCTCGCTCTGACCATATTTTTGATAAGATTTTGCTCATGTGAGTGTGTGAGTTAACTCCCCTTATACTTCTTCTCTTGGTAGTGGGTGGCGTTTTTGTTGGTATGATAAAGTATCTTCATCACATCTATGTATTTTATCTCCATTCAACCTCTTGTCTTGACTACCCCTTCCGACGGCCAGGTTCTTTTTGCTTGTATATCTTGAAGTTCATGCTACATGGCAGAAATGGCCTGTTAATCCTTATCTTTTTGATTCCTCCATCTGATTCGACATAACATTCAGTGGTAGCAGTCAGACTCTTCCCACTTCTGGCTTCAATATGCGTTCCACTGATAATCAGTTGACATGTTTCATCACCACATACTCATAGAATAAGGTCTACAAATGTTTATCCAGCCGAAGTCTATTACCAAACTGTTCTGAGGCAGACACAATCAATAAGGTCGAAGTATGGACTTCGATTATATCATAGGGTCTGACCAGTGTTGACGCGAAGCGTCCTAGCTTATAACAATAATGTATATTTTCATATAAACATATAAATTTATATGAAAATGCATGCCATTTTTACAGGCACGATCAAGTATGATATAGTCTCAAATCGTAGATTGTTTACAAGTTAATAATATTTCAAATGTTAAATATTTGATACATATATATAATTACACTGATTGTCTGAACCAGGCCGCATAGTTATTGAATTATACAGTTATCCTCCAGGTTGCTCGGGAAAATCGACTTCGTTTCGTTTTCATCCCGTCGTTGTAGGCATACAATAACCAACCAATACTGAGGTAACGTTTACAAATGATTGAAAGCTGTTTTAGAAAAAAAAGTGCTAAGGTGAACCGTTAAAGTGTAATAATAATAATAATTTATTTTCATATAAACATAAATTTACATGAAAATGCATGCCATTTTTACAGGCACGATCAAGTATGTTATAATGTCAAATCTTAAATTGTCTACAAGTTAATAATGTTTCAACAGTTAAATATTTGATATATATATATAAATACACATTGTCTGAACTAGGCTGTATAGTTATTGAGTTGTACAGTTGTCCTCCAGGTTGAGCGGGAAAATCGACTTCGTTTCGTTTTCATCCCGTGGTTGTGGGCATACGATAACCAACCAATATTGAGGTAAGTACAACGTTTACAAGGGATTGGAAGCTGTTCTAGAAAAGTTAAAGTGCTAAGGTGAAACATTAAAGTGTAATAGATTAGGTGAGTGAAATATGTCATTAATAAACACATTTATATAGAAAACAGAATGGGGAAGTAATTAATTCTTAGGCCAACAACTTTCATTTGCAATGTATAATTAAACCAATATATTTTGTACTATCATGATTTCCCCTTTTGGCCTTAATACAATTATTTTCAAGCCAGTTGTTTTTATTTCATGCCTTTTTGTCTATTTGGTGCACAACCGTACCCTCCAGAGAATAGGAATACAATAAGTCGAATCAAATTCATAAAGAGCTATAGAATGTTAGGTTTAATGGAATATAATGAGGATCAAGTAAAGACGTTATTAGAAAATAAGTGAGACAAGATATTGTGAAGTGGTATTTAAAGATCTGACAATGGATAGCAAGTTAATTTATAA